TCTGTCAAACCATGCCTAGGATCACAGGTCTGTGCACCAAGGAAAAGTGAATTAATCAAATATTCTATGAATGGAGAAGGCAAGCAGAATCATAGAACCAGCCAGGTTGGAAGAGACCTCCAAGATCACCTAGTCCAACCTCTGACCTAACACAAACAAGTCCTCCACTAAACCATATCACTAAGCTCTACATATAAACGTCTTTTAAAGACCTCCAGGGATGGTGACTCAACCACTTCCCTGGGCAGCCTATTCCAATGCTTAACAACCCTTTCGGTAAAGAAGTTCTTCCTAATGTCCAACCTAAAACACCCCTGGCACAACTTTAGTCCATTCCCCCTTGTCCTGTCACCAGGCATGTGGAGAATAGACCAACCCCCACCTCGCTACAGCCTCCTTTAAGGTATCCATAGAGTGCAATAAGGTCGCCCCTGAGACTCCTCTTCTCCAGGCTGAACAAGCCCAGCTCCCTCAGCCACACCTCATAAGGCTTGTTCTCCAGACACCTCACCAGCTTTGTCGCCCTTCTCTGGACTCACTCAAGCACCTCGATGTCCTTCTTGTAGCACGGGGCCCAAAACTGAACACAATACTCAGGGTGCAGCCTCACCAGAGCCAAGTACTCTTCCCTAGCCCTGCTGGCCACACTGTTTCTTATGCAAGCCAGGATGCTGTAGGCCTTCACATCCACCTGAGCACACTGCTGACTTATATTTAGCAGACTATCAACCATCACTCCCAGGTCCTTCTCTGCCAGACAACTTTCCTGTAGCGCTGCTTGGGGTTGTTGTGCCCCAGGTGCAGGACCCAGCACTTGGCCTTGTTGAACTTCATTCAGTTGGCCTCAGCCCATGGCTCCAGCCTATCCAGATCCTCCTGCAGAGCCTTCCTACCCTCGAGCAGATCAACACACGCACCTAACTTGGTGTCATCTGCAAACTTACTGAGGGTGCACTCGATCCCCTCATCCAGATCATCAATAAAGATATTAAAGAGAACTGGCCCTAGTACTGAGCCCTGGGGGACTCCACTAGTGATCGGCCTCCAACTGGATTTAACTCTATTCACCACGACTCCTTGGGCCCGGCTACCCAGACAGTTTCTAACCCAATGAAGCATACGATGCCAGCCCAAGCCACAAGCAGTCAGTTTCTCGAGGAGAATGCTGTGGGAAACGGTGTCAAAAGCCTTACTGAAGTCAAGGTAGACCACATCCACAGCCTTTCCCTCATCCACTAAGCACATCACCTTGTCATGGAAGGAGATCAGGTTCGTCAAGCAGGACCTGCCTTTCATAAACCCATGCTGACTGGGCCTGATCATCTGGTTGCTCTGCAAGTGCCGTGTGATGGCGCTCAAGATAATCTGCTCCACGAGCTTCCCTGGCACTGAGTTCAAACTTAACAGGCCTATAGTTTCCAGGGTCTACCCTCCGGCCCTTCTTGTAGATAGGTGTCACGTTTGCTAGTCGCCAGTCAACTGGGACCTTCCCTGATAGCCAGGACTGCCGATAAATGATGGGAAGTGGCTTGGCCAGTTCTTCTGCCAGTTCTCAGCACCCTTGGGTAGATCCCATCTGGCTCTATTGACTTGTGTACATCCAAGTACTGCAACAGGTCACCAACCATTTCTTCGTGGATAGTGAGGGCCACATCCTGCTCCCCATCCCCTTCCACCAGCTCAGGGTACTGGGTATCCAGAGAACAACTGGTCTTGCTGCTAACGACTGAGGCAAAGAAGGCATTAAGCACCTCAGCCTTTTCCTCATCTCTCGTCACTAAGTTTCCTCCCGCATCCAGTAAAGGATGGAGATTCTCCTTTCTCCTCCTTTTTGTCTTAATGTATTTATAAAAACATTTTCTGTTGTCTTTAACAGCAGTAGCCAGATTGAGCTCCAGATGAGCTTTGGCCTTTCTAATTTTGTCCCTACACATCCCTACAACATCCTTATAATCCTTCTGAGTGGCCCACCCTCTTTTCCAAAGACCACAAACCCTCTTTTTTCTTTTTTTCCGTAAGCTCTAGCCACAACTCTCCGTTCAGCCGGGCCAGTCTTCTTCCACGCCAGCTTGTCTTTGGGCATGTGGGGACCATAATGGCTCCTGAGCCATTAACATTTCCTTCTTGAGGAGTGCCCAGCCTTCCCAGACTCCTCTGCCCTTCAGAAGTGCCTCCCAAGGGACTCTGCCAACCAGTGTCCTGAACAGCTCAAAGTCTGCCCTCCGGAAGTCTAAGACAGCAGTTTTACTGATCCCCCTACTGAATTTGCCAAAAATAGAGAACTCTACCTTTTTGTGGTCACTCTGCCCAAGACAGCTCCCAACCACCACATCTCCCACCAGTCCTTCTCTGTGTGTGAACAGAAGGTCCAGCGGGGCACCTCCCCTGGGAGGCTCACTAACCAGCTGCATCAGGAAACTATCTTCCACGCTCTCCAGAAACCTCCTAGACTGCTTCCTCTGAGCTGTATTGCATGTCCAGGATATGGCCGGGAAGTTGAAGTCCCCCACATGGACAAGAACCGACGATTTTGCAACTTTTGCTGGCTGCCTGTAGAATTCCTCATCTTGGTTTGGTAGTCTGTAAGAGCCCCTCATGGGCTCTTACAGCCATGCTTGCCTCATTGGCCTTCCCACTGATCCTAACCCATAGGGAATCAGCCTTATCATCCCCAGTCTCAGCCTCAAGTTCCACAACATCAAAACACTCTATCGTATAGAGAGCCGCACACCACCCCTTCTGAAGAGCCTATAGCCAGCCATTGCAGCACTCCAGTCATGGGAGCAGTCCCATCACATTTCAGTGATGGCAACCTGGTCATAGCTAGCCTGCTGCACAATGGCTTCCAGCTCCTCCTGTTTGTTGCCCATGCTGCATGCATTGGTGTAGATGCATTTCAGCTGGGCCATTGCTTTCTCCCCCAGCCCTGACATTGGTCTCCCTGGCACACCTCTAACAAGCCTTATTCCCTCCCCATCCCCCTTCCTACCTAGTTTAAAGCCCTGTCAATGAGAGCCCTGCCAGCTCCTGGGCTGGTGTCTGTTTTCCCCTTTGAGACAGGTGGGACCCACCTGCAGTTAGCAGGCTGGGTACTGAGTAAAGCATCCTGTGGTCAAAAAAACACAAAAATAACTCCTGTGTTGGCACCAGCCTCTGAGCCACCTGTTTATTAGGTGGCCTTTCCAGATCCTCTGTGCACCCCTCCCTGCCACTGTAGGGATGGAGGAAAACATGACCTGTACTCCTGCTCCATCTACTAATAATCCCAGTCCCCTAAAGTCCCGTTTGATGGTCTTCAGGCTTCTGTCTTCACTATCATCTCTGCCAGCCTGGACTGTTAAAAATAGAATAGTAGTCAGAGGGATGAACCAGGTTAGGAAGTTTTCTGGCAATGTCCCTGGTCCTGGCCCCAGGGAGGCAGCAGACTGCCCTATGGGTAGGGTCAGGTCAACAAATAGGGCCCTCTGTTCCCCTGAGAAGGGAGTCGCCTACAACAATCACCCTTCTTTCTGTCTTCATGGAGGCAGTCCTGAGGCATGGAGTCGACTTCCTTGCCCTAGGCATCCTTCTGGGTAGACTTTCTACCTCTTCCTCAGCTACTGGTCTCTCAAGCTCCAGGACCTCCAACCTGTTGTGTAAGGGCATCTGGGGAGGCAGGACCGGTAGGAAGGGGCATTGCCTGTTATGTCAAGCAGGGACCTGCTTCCATTCCTCCTCATTTCCTAGGTCCCTTCCCTCTGCTTGACAGGGACAGGGCAGGGGCTCCACCACTGTTTGGGGTGTCTCACCCTGGTGCCTTTCCTTCAGGCCTTGCAGGGAGTTGCTCCACGGGTCTATCTCCTGCTCACACTCCCTGATAGCCCTCAACCTCTCCACCTCCACCTTGAGCTGTGCCACCAGGCTGACCAGGTCATCCACCTGCTCACAACTCTCACACGCAGTGTCTCTGCTGCCCTCAGAGGGGAGCAACAAGTTCAGGCACTCAGTGCATCCAGAGACCTGAAGTGCCGCATTTTTGAGCTGGCACTCAGTCTGGGTGGCCACAGACTTTCTAAAAAGAGCTGTCTGCTTAGTGATGACCATGGTGGTTTACCTATAGGTAGGCGGAACACTCTGCCCTGCCTGCGGGTGCCCTGTCTGCACGAACCACCACACCTGGCCCTGTTTGCCCGTCCTGGTCACTGCGCTCCCCAGGGGCAGCTTTTGAACGGCCTGGGAGGGGGCGCTGCTGGCTCCGCCTACTCGTCAGCCTCCCACGCGAGGGCCTCTAGGTCCTGGTGGTTCCTGCAGCTGCTCTGAGTGGCTTCAATGCCGCAAAAAAGCTCTGCCCGCCTCGATTTCCCGCTCCGAGAATACTCAAATACTCAAGTCAAGGAATTTCTCAGAAAAGTTTCCAGGAGTAATTTCAAATGCAAAATACACATCATTATAGAAAATATAACCAATTAAGGTACATCAACGCTCTAACTTTCCTAATCCTTGATTTTTATGCAATGCAAGTGACTAGCACTGCATTTTATCAATGTATATTTTTAAACCGTTTTATAGGTGATTGCTTAAGCAACAAGACTTCTTTAATAAGCAGCACTTAGTAAGAGTCTTCTGGCAGACAACAGCAATTACAATGCAATATATAACCATTACTGCTGCCCACGTTGCTCTGTTCTGCAGCAGAATTTCATTTTTATCCATAGAAAGTGTCCCACTTCCAAACCATTGAGCATACTAACACGTTACTAAGGTTTTGGCAAAAGGTAATTATTATAACAGTTTGTTATGTATACAAAGCAGTTCCCTTTTCAAGGCAAACTATTTCAACAAGTAAATAGTATACTAACTACGTTGCTAAACGAGACTAGAGTATGCTGGAGATACTGAAGTCCCAGAAGTAAAATAGTGCCAGTATGAACTGGTACTCTGGCCCAACTTGTAACCCTACTCATGTAATCAGTCACCTGTGGCTTTCATTAAAAACATTCAAAATAAGACAAAAAGTCACATTACTTTAAACATCTTACAAATTTTATAAAGTGTTATTATACATTACAAAAAGGCTTTCATCAATTAAAATCTATAAAACACAATGTATAATACTCTTTAAATAAAGATTATCTATATTTCAATCTGTACAGGTAACAGCTTATATCAAAACTTTATCAAATAGAAGAAAGCTCATAATTTTCATACCTATCTAATTATAAGTATGTACATTGTCACAAAAACATTTGTGTGTTTAGAAATGACTATTCTTGTCTACAGAAATATAAAGAGATACTCCAAGTACCTCCCCTGATGACTCAAAGAGTTGCTGACTCAGGAGAGAGTAGGTTTACAATGGTAATTTAAAAACACCAATTAAAACCTCTTAAAATCAGAGAAACCGTGTTCTTATTTTTCTGAGTATTCCAGCTCAGAAGAATGACAATGTAAATTAACAGGGAAAAAGAAAATGAAGACTGGATAGAAAAATATCCCTGAGATAAGGCATAAACACAATTACTCTTCCTACTTGCTTGTTTCTTTGGCTTTTGATTACTTTCAAGATACCACGTAGTTTGAAAGGAAGTTTGTCCTGTCATAGGTTTTATCAATTACACCATCACAAGACTGGTAATTATTCTGACACAATACAAGTGATGAAAAACAATAGCATAAGTTCCTCTTTTTCTTCACCCTTTTCCCATTTGACCCCATCCCTTTATTCTTCTTAATAATTGTAGAATTTTATTCTAAAATTAGACAGCTAGAGGATAGAAGAGCTACCTGCATATTATTTCTAATTTCCCATATCTTTACAATTTCCCGTATCTTCCTTTTTTTCTTGATATTTTTTTCCAGGCAAGTTCTTCAAAAGCCATTCTTTCATCTTCTACTTCATCTTCCAAGTCTCTATCATGTACAAAGTCTGTACAAAAAAACCCAAGAAATTAATGCCAAATTGAAAAATGTGACATCTTGTTCTCTTAACAGCAGAACAAGCTACATCACTACAATTTTATATTTCAGTGTAATATCTTCATATGTGTATAATCATGTTTAAGAAGCATTAGGTGTATCATTAATTAATATACTTAGGAACACTGCTAGAAAGGAGTGACTCCTAAGCCCCTTGCTGCATTACATTGCCCTTGTTACATTGAACATCTGTTTCTATTGTCACGGTTTTTGATTTTTTATTTTTTTTAAGAACGTCTTCCTCTCTCAAGGTTCAATTTCAGCACACAATACATTTGCTTATTGACTTCAGAAGAGGGAAAGAGCATACAGTTACTTGTAAGACTGTGAGAGCACTCCCATGCAGTCTTAACTATGTCTTTCTTGGAATAGGAAGGTGTTAACACTTTTTATGCAATTTTTGCAATTCTATACCACTTAAATATGTGCTAAACCTTAAATATACTGGAGGGCAAAATGAAGCTTTAAACTTGTCCTCAAAGAATGTAATAGATTGCACCCAAGTATGTTGCTTTGTTTTACACCAAAAGTGAAATGACTAAAAAAAAAAGAAATCCAACAGCATGTATTATTATTATTATTATTATTATTATTATTATTATTATTATTATTATTATTATTATTATTATTATTATTATTATTATTATTATTTATCCTCCACATAAATCTTAAAAAGCAAGTTAGTTTTATTAGGAAGCTGATTTTCAAGAACTTGGGACCACAATGTTAACTGCCAATAAATGCACTCTTGCAGCATAGTTGGGGAACAGCACTAACTTACTAGGAAAGATGAAGATAGCTTCTCTTCTGTTCCCTGGCCAAGTTTCTATCCTGAAGACTGCACCTGAACCATAGGTACATGTACCTCTGTATGCACACACACATGCACATACTTCGTGCACACTCAGATCCGCTGTGTGCCAGGAGAGGGGGCTTGCTCCATTTGGGCCACCCTGCAGCCAGGTGTAAGTCTCCTACTCTTTTATAAAGAGCTGCTGAGGGAAGTCCAGATAACTCGTGTCTTTGCAGAGTTCACCTATGAAGTCTCTTGTTGCCTAGAGGGTGAACATTCACAACACCGCTGACCCGGAGATTAAAGTGATGCTAAGAGACCATTACCAAACAGTGACCTCTAGGGGGCACAGAAGTCTGTGTAATTTGAAAACATACCTTCCTTAATCCTATGCAAATCCATTTTCTTCAGCCATTTATGAGCCTCATCAATTACAGCAAACAATTTGTTGGCACGTTTGGTTATTATTTCTTCAGCTGAAATGAAGCAAAGTTAGCATTCTGTAGGAACACTAGCTGAGAGATTGACAGCCAAACATGGTGACACAGAGACATGCATGATGCTGATGCAAAGCTAGAAGTCCCAGGTTCCAGTGATTTCATGTACAGAAAAAATTCACTACCATGCATAAAGATGCATGGCACTCCCCAAAATAATCAACATTAATAGCACTATAAGGATGGAGAGATGAGCTTCTCCTGTCATGCTGTCCCTTTTTGGGGAAATAAAATTCCTGGCTTTCATTATCCTTCTGAAATTCCACATGTCAAAGAAACACAAGGACCCAAGATGTTGCAATCCTTTTTCAACAGCACCATTAAGGACATGAAAAGCACTCTTTATAAAATGAGGGAAAACTAGTCTCAATGGCAAATCATTTCTGTAAATATACTTCTACTGAGTGGAAAAACAAGGCAGCATTCAAAGAACTGTCATAAAGAAATCAACTATTACTCAATTCAATCTACTACATCCATTATATCATCCATTATACCAGTGAACTGCCATGGTTCACTGAGCAGAAACCTAGCTAAGTAATAAGAAAACTTTATTCATATAAAAAACCCTGTCCATTAGGAGTAAAGAGAAAGCTTGAACATTAATGTAAAGACCACAACTTAATGGTCAGTTACAAACATAACATATTGCACTGATCAGAGCTGAAGAATATTAAATACTCTAGTTTTTCATTACTGTCAGCCATCATGGGCAACGTGACAACTTGACAGGGTTGGTGGATTTCTACAACTAAAGCCAGTAACAATATTTTGATTTAAGATGTCACTTTCCCACAGCAAGCACCCTAAACAATTCTGCTCCTAGGCTACTCATTCAGTGATTCAATTTCACTTGAAAAAATTATCATAGAATAATGCTTTCAGCATGTGAGAAAGAAATCATATATCAAAATAATGATAAATAAATACAATATATGTATTTGCTAAGTACCATAACTTACTGAACTTAGTAACACTAGTTTTTCCTTTTAAATATTTTCTTACGGTCTCAGTACCTTTCCCCCTCAGCTACCTGACATAGCACTTTCTTGTTTCTTTCTACCACATGAAGATTTTTGAATGGAGCTTTGTCTAAAAGGCTGGCCACAGATGGCATATTAAATTGTTTAAAAGAAAACTGATAAATCCTACCTTCAGCCCAGGCTTTTCTCTCATAGATTTCCTCTACCGCATCTGAAATCATCTTAATATTCTCTTTTATTTTTCTCTGGTGTAATTTGGGGCCTTCTTTATATGCTAGATGTTCTTGGGTACAAGCCTTTTCTGTAATGGCCTCTACTATTTCCAGTCCATCTTGTATTTTTGGATCTATTTCTCTTCTGAAAAAGTCAGCATAGTTTCTGTAGGCAGTGCTATTATTTTTGTGTGCATCCGTGTTTCTGTGCTCTATATAACTTTCACTGGCCACGATAACTGCATTTCTCTCCACCTGCAACTTTTCTTCCCCGCTGATGTCTGTTGGTGTCACGCTTCCAGGAGCGTCTGCTTCCATGTTTTCTGTTTGGCTGAAGTAGTTCTCAGCGCTCTGGATAAATCTGACTCCACAGAGGTCACACTGGGTTTGGTCAATATCTGCTTTTCTGAAGACTGCTGATAGAAAATTCTCTCTTCCCATGGCAACAGGCTCAGCTTTGGAGCAGGCCTTCCTTTTCCACTTCATGTACATAGACACAAAATGGAAAACATGGCGCAGCTGGCGCTGAGCAGATGCTTTCTGCTCTTGCTTCTGTTGCTTGCTGAGTGCAATCACTTCCAGGGGATCCTTTTGGTCATCTAAGCACTGATTGCTTTCAAGTTCCTTTTCTATCTCATCAGCATATTCTGTCTTATCCAAAGAGGTTATAAACCTGTCAAGGTTTACAGTTTCATACAGAATACCTCGTGTGGGTGGATGCCCCTGAGCGTACACAGAGTCCCACTTCCATCGGCAGTCAACTAAGTACTCTTCATCTCGCTCTGTCAGAAGCTCTTGCAGGCCTACAGCAATTTCTCTTACATGTGTAGCACCAGCCACTTGTTCCACTACTTTTAGCAATCTTTTAGGCACTTTAGAGGGAAAGTTTTTTCTCATTGATTTCAGCATTTTCTTTATTTCAGGGAAGTGTTGGTATAAGAGATATTTACACGTAGAATTCTGCACCTGGTCAGCATTCAGTATCATCACTAAGCACAGCACTATAGTTCGCTCAGCTTCCCCTGAAGTTATGCACTCAGGATCCTCAAAAGCATCCAGAATGACATGGAACCTCCCATGAACTCCACATAAAATTTTTGCTAGATAACAGAGATGAAATCTGAAATCCTGTTCAGCTGTATATATGTCCTTTGGTCTATACTCTTGTATAATGGAAAATGTCTCTGTAAATTCTTTTTTATAGTCCTTGCTTCTGAACAAAAAATCCCAGTAATGAATAAGAGCAATGTAACTCTTTGGAAAGCACAGAGTAACGTTCTTGTTGAGACGCATCAGGACAGCACAACAGAGAATGTACTGGAACTCCAACATCATCACCGTATTTCCTATGCTTGGAATCAGGAATCTTGTGCATTTCTTGACCAGGACATTCATAAAACGGAAAAACAGTCTTTTACAGTTTTCTGGGTTCTTATGAACATAAAATTGCTCAAATGAATTTTCAAGAAGTCTAATGAAGCACAAGTGTGTTCCTGTATTTTCTGTATTTTTGTCAGGTAGCAACATTCCATGTCTGCCATCTATTCCTTTGATCTCTCCTCTGTGATGTTTGCACTTTGGGGAGTCTTTTGCCTTTGACAAAGCAAGGTTTAGCTCTCTGTTATAATCATCCTCTTCCTCAAAAAGAAGTTTCTCAAATTCTTCAGGATATCCTGAAGATAAGAGAAAAACCTTCATGGCACTTAACCACAAGTCACTTGACTCTCTTCTTGCCCTTGCATCTTCATTTTGAAATTTAAATGTAATATACTCATTCAACACTGCTCTACAGGGTTTGGAAACAATGTTACTGAACACCAGTATTTCTTTGCATGCCTTTGGGTTTTCTGACAGTATTCTCAAATGAAAATGATTAGGAAAAAACATTTCTAGGAGGGCTTTACATGATGCATATTTGTCAGGAGTCAAAAAGTCGAAGCTTTTGCACTGACTCAGTAGCTCTTCAGGGAAAGTGCGTGTGGCTTCCAAGAGCAGTCCATTTATTGCTGCCAGATGCATTTTACATTGAAATACTGTCCTTGCTTCATGGCGCAACAAGGGCGTATGTAAATCCTCACAGGTTTCACCTTCACAGTTCAAGCCAACAATGAACTTGCTACAAATACCAGGGTAATGCTTCTTCCGTAACTCACGGATGATAGAACACAACCTGCTTAGCAAGTGCTGCTTCAAAGCTGATTTTACATCCTCTGTGCTTACTGAGAAATTACCTTTTGTCTTCCTCTCTTTTAGACTTGACTTGTCTGACAAAAACTTTAGGATGGGTTCACCTTCATTTTGAGACACCTGGCAACAACTGTCACCTGTTGGAACAATCCCAAAATAGGCGAAGCATGATTTCACCATATCTTTCTCTGCATTGGTGGCTGCTTTCTTCAAACTTTTAACCAGACCTAGAAGAGCTATTAAGCCACGTGTTGCCTTAAAGAGGATGTCCTGACTTGGAGCATTGCAGCGAGATAACACAAAGAGAACTTCAACTGCACCAGCAGAATGATTCAGAGATAGAAACTGACAGTATGCGCTGTTCAGCTTTGCAAAGTCTCCCTTCAGAGCTCCCTGCAAAAATACAGCTTCAGCAATCCCAGACTTCTGCTTAGTTTCTTCACAAAGCTCAAGGGCTTCTCTTAGCATGCCCTCTCTGTCTGCCATGTCCAATTCCGAACAGTGAGTCATATCAGCACGGGCTGCAGCAAGCAAGCAAGATGCACGGAACTCTTTTATAGTTGTGAGGTTGGCTGCTTCCCGAGCAAACCCGTGTTGTTTCATTAGCTTTGCAGCTTCTTCCTGCCGACCTTCTCTTTTCAGTAAGTCTGCTGTTTGGCGCAAGCATCCACGAGATTTCAGAAACTCAAGCTGATCCTCTATATCAAGTTTTGAGAGGACCCGCATCATTTCCTCAGTTTTGTTCATACTTAGGTACTTTGCAGCTGCTTCCAAATACAGCTGGTTTGCTGTACATGGAAGTTTGGAAACCATTTGTCCTCTTGTATTCAAGATCTCTTCATATCTGAAATAAAACATACATCAATTTACTACCATGGATGATGAACCTAGAATGATTAACCTAGGTTAGACACGGAATAACTATTATTTTTTATTTTTTTGTTAAGTCCCCCAAACATGAAACAAATAGCTGTCCCAAGAAGCCCTTCTTTTTTAAAAGGCCAACTATTTCAAGCACCATGCCTGTCAAGCAAAAACCAATCACATCATCCTAAAAGACCTACAAAAAGAATTTAGTGACAACATAAGGATGCCTGAAACAAGATCATTAAAATTTCTGGTATGACCAAGATTGCAAGGTTTACAGCATTAGTGAATCTTTATCCATGCTGTCATAATACTACTTCCAATTATTTTAACCACATTTTGCCAGTGATAATCTTCCATTTGTTAAAGTAAGCTTCAATGTTGAGTTGTTCTTTGTATGAATAGAAGCCAGAATTAAATAAAACAGAATATCAATAAATTCTCCACAGGCCAACATAGATAATACCCTGTAAAACTTACATAAACCAGTCAGTTTAGAGAACTGTTTCAATTTTGTTGTATGTCGCTACATATACTTTGCTACCTACCCAGTGCCTGTACAGAGTACCTAGCTGCATCTTTCAAAACATACACTTTAAAGCACTCAGCTATTAATTATTTTTGTCTGAAGCCAAATTATTAAGATACACCCTAAGCCACTCTTTCAAAAGGGTTCTCTCCTGCATGCTGAGAATGAGTAATTTTTTCCTCATGGGTAAGTAAATTGTTATAAGCCTATAATTACTATTTTCTGATGATAGTGATGGGAGTGCAGATTTTAGTACCTTTACTGATAAATTTGCATGAATGATTTGGGGAGGATGATTTTAAAAAATCATTAGTTGGTAAGGTGAGTTTAATGCTTGAAGTTTTGGACCAAACTATCTCTACATATTAAACTAGCTTTAGTCCTCTAAAAAAAGTTGCCATAGCATAGGAATTATTAAATATACATCACAAAGGATCTCAGTGAATGTGTGTACTTATTGTAGGCCTTGCTGAAAGTCTAACTGGTGTATATATTAGTAAAATGTCATCAAGTTATTTGTAATGAAACGTGTGGCCAATTAATGAACTGTTTGCATAAGAGTGTTCCAATGAGGTCACAAGGATGCTGCCAGATGCAAAGTTCTGTCAAAAAGATACTAATAAAATCAGTTTATCACGAACAGTGTGAAATGGTTCTTAATTGTCCTGAGTGACCATGGCAGAGTTGGTAGCTCATCCCAGAGACTGCAACCGACATTCATCTTAGAGAGGCAGTATGAGTTGGTCATTTACTTCTTTGCTCTAAGTTAAAAGATTTTGAGAAGCAAATAGCTCAATTGCCACAATGACTACTGTATTACATACCACATATCTAATGGTTATACACCTGCAGAAGTCAGCGACAAAGTGACTAAGTCCATGAAGTATTAGAAAAGTAGTATTTAATTTCTGTTAAACATTTTGATATACTTAAAAAAAGGACTGGCCAAAAAAATGTGCATGACTAGTAATACAGAATTGGAAAAATAGTGTAGTTTTCCTACGAGGCTAGGAAAATTAAGCTAGTCACTGCTCAAGCAGTGACTATAGTGGAATGCTTTGCCCATGTTATCAGGACCCCAGTGAGAATTCAGACAAAGTTAATTTAACTTCATACGAAACCAATCACCAGCCAAAACTCTTATTAAAATTTTATGGAAAGCCAGCTGCATTATGCCGAAGTTGGAGATAGAAGATAGAGAATTATTTTCAATGCAGTCTTGAAAGGTACCTTTCAACTGCCTTTGCTGCTTCTTCATAGAGCTCCTCCTGACAATACATCTTAATTGCCAGACCAAACTCCTCAATTTGTTCATAACATTCAGACGCTTCTTTGTAGCACTGGATTTTCTGATAGTATACTGCAGCTTCTTTCATCTGCAATGCAGAAGTCAATAAGGAAACTGAAGTACTCGAAATATCCAAAACTACACAGATAGAATAAATTTAGTAATTCCATCATGTAGGTGTTTTATACAAAAGCACACTCTAATAAAATGTACTCTAAGTTTTTAATGTAATCAAATACTTAAAGTAACCATTATTAAAACTGAACAGATTTGAAAAAAGCCTTCAAAATAATTGTGTTGGAAAAACTAGAACATAAAATTAAATATATTACAGGATTTCCAAAGTACTTGCTATCCTCTGCCTGCTATTAAAAAAAACACTACACATGCTTCTGTTGACTTGCAAATTGCTCAAAATTCAACAGTATTAAATTAAAACAGTTCTATCTGCAGAAAGGGAACCTTCATCTTGCATCTCAAATATTTTGGAAAAATTACTTTATATTACACTTTGTCTTTTGGTGGAAATGCACTGCAGACAGAAAAATTTAAATACCCGCACAAGCTTAGAAAATTTTTGTGAGTACATTGCTTAACCCTTGCAAGTTTCAGGGTTTCATTTAGGTGGCTGTAATCAGCATAGCTACAATATCAGAGTATTATATGAATGAAGTAGCAGGTAAAATTTCATGAATCAATCCGTAATCGGCTTTCAACTGCAAAGCAGAAATGACTGGTGACATTTGAGGAAAGCCAAAGAAATAAACTTAGACTATATAATTGCATCATCCTCCGATTCATTGCTATTACAGCTGTTCCATGACAAATGCTTCCTTCTTGAACATGTTTCTCTTGAATGGCCCAGCTTAAAGAGATGTTTTAGTTCTACTACCATACCACAGAAAGATGCTATTATCTTATGAATTCTGAAAGAGATCACCTTTACAAATTCTATAAACATGTACAAATGCCAAATCGGAGGGAAAAGATCTGTAGCAAAATGAAAAGGGATAAGGAGAGGATAGGGTAAGGATTTAATACCTTTCCTAACTTTTTACACAGTTCTGCACAAAGTCGGAACTCCTTCGACTGAAGCAGGCATTTTAGTGATAGCTTTGGTTCTCCACACTCCAAATAAGTTTTTGCCAATGTTATATATTCCATCTGCTTTTCCCTGCAGAAAGTAAAAAAAGAAGTTAGTTACAGTAATTTTAAATGATATTTAAAAAATACGGGACCTGTCACTGAATCTAACCATATAACCATTCTATCATCATATGTTTTTCCCACTTAAACTGAGGAGGTAAAGCAAATAAGCAGTGGGATTAACTGGAGTTGAGCACTGCTGATGGCATATGCTATCCTATCTATATCCAAGAAAAAAAGCCTCTTGAGGTAAAGCAAATCATGTTGCATCTCTCTGACATAACCAGAGAGCTGACATAACCACAGGACATCTTTTCCCTGGGTATCTTCCCCCCACGCACCCATGAGGTGGCACCTTAGAATGACACCCACTGACATGCATTTATACTTACCTGGGGCTGCTTTTCTTCAAATGCACTTTGAGAACAGCATCATGTGCCAGGGCCAGCTTTGACTTCTCCGATGCTCCTCCCTTTTGGTAACATTTGGCTGCCACCTGGGTGAGATCATACACAGCATTCACACACGTGCATCCAACTCATGGCTTATCACATATATGCAACACTTAATTTTACAGTCACTGTAACAGAAAACAAAGACTGGCAGAGTGCCTAGAAGAAGGAAAAGGAAAAAGGTAGCAGAATATTTTTAGGACAAAAGGAAAAGCTATGAAGTCAGTCCACATGTGGCTATATCATAATTAGAGTTTTAATTAAAATGTTTTATGAAGTGATAAAAACAAAATACCTGGTAGGCTGATGGCACAAATAGTGGTTTGGACAATTATCCAAAATGCATGTTGCATGTGTGCTAACTGGTAAGTCACTAGGCACACCTGCCACGTAACAGTATTAATAAAAGCTAGGAAAACCAATGCATGCAAGGTTAAATCAGAGAACGTGGAAAATTTACTCATGTTTTTAGCTTACCATGCCCCTTCTGTAATACATTAAAGAGAATCACTGAAAGTTAGCCAGGTTCCAAGCAACCACTGCTTAATTATCATCTTCCTCATTTTGCCACACTGTATTTCTTTATTGTATCCGTTAATTTCATACTTCTATTTGGAAATCCCATATTGCAAGCCACTCTTACAGCAGCAAAATTCCCCAGATTATTTCTTTTTATGTAGCAATGATACACAAAGATCAGATTATGAAGAAAACAGAACAGCAGATAATATAGCTACTACATTTCAGTTTTTTTTTTCAATTGTGTGCTTATTATCTAAACCACTTTCTGTCCACATAGGAAACTTTCCCTCCCATCCCCCCCAAGGAGAGAAAAAGACTGTCTGTATAGTGGCAACTCAATAATCTTTGCCTTCTTATAAATATTTTCCGTAGAAAAAAAATGTGCTGCTTACATCAAAAAAAGGAATCTTTCCTTTTGCTATCAAAAATAGTATCCAAAAATTTTATTTGCTTCCACTCCATTAGCTATCATGCCAAATTTGGACTGCATAAACTACAAAGTCAGCAAATAAAAGTGTGTAAAATATCAATGTTCTTTAAGTAATAAGGGAATTAAACATAATTTTGCTACACATTGTCCATAATTCTTAATGTAGCAAACTCCCTCGGTCTTACATGCTGTTCCTTAGTAAGTGTTTTGTATCCATCCCTAATTACCGACCAAAAAAACACAGAAGGCTCTGAGATCGTCACCCAAGTCAATATACTTCAAATAGATGCCTATGGTAATGTGTAATGGTAGTGCCAAGAATGTGGTTTAAATTCACAAGTTCCAGTCAATTCATATTGTTGCCAATAACTGTTTTTCCCAGTCATCTTTGATCTGTACATATTAAAACTTTTTCTCCCTCACAGGACTGCAAATTTCTGGGTTGTGAATTTAGGATTACAGACAATAGCCTTGCTCTCCCCACTTCTTCCAAGTTGTTTCCAGGTTGTCTGTAGATACCTACAGAACTATAAGCCACAAAATACAAAAATAATAGAAAAGCTTGCTACAGAGCCAGTAAAGATTTACAGACAGTGTTATAGAAGTAAAGAAAATAAGAAGGTTTCAAAATAGGCAAGAATCCTTATTTCAGCATATGCTATCACATGTTCCTACCTCCCAGAACTGATGTTTAGCATAGTAGTCTCCCTGTGCAATCCATTCTTCTGGGGATGAAGTTTTAGCAAACATGCTGTCATCTAAGTCTAGGACAGTGGAGGAAATCATTTTATGTTAGAATAGATAGAAAACAGTAACCACCTGCTATGGACAGAAGCTAAGCATCAATATCTCCTAATATTCCAAATTCTGTATGGTTTGTGCTCACACCAGTAATGGTAACTGTGAGTACATCTTATACCTCCCAACCAGCACTGGAAATAAACAAGTTAGGTCTAGTTTTGAAAAGCCTCTAAAAACAGTGTTTATTTTTTGGACAAAACTTTTGAGTAAATCCACTGTCTTTCTAGAAACCAAGTCCTCTTATTTGATTAAACCCCCTTCAGCTGGCATGGTATGACAAGAACCACCTTTATTACTGTGAAGGAAAAAAAAAAAATCAATGAATTAGCAATGAATTTATTTATTAACATATACAATTAATCTTCAGAGCCCAAACAAATAAAACCCACTAAAACAAGTGGAAATTTGCAAGCGTGTTATCAATGCATACTGTTAGAAGGACCAAAGAGCTTAACATTCTTTATTACACAGCCTGAAATCAAGACAGCATTCAGTAGGTTGTCCTGTTTCAGAGTCTTTTAAGGAAGTTTTATGATGCCTTTACCTTTATTTTCATCTGTTTTGACAACCTGAACAAGTCCCCTTTTGATGAAGTACTTAAAAGCTGGAGCCCGTTTTTCACTATTTTCGTCAAATATCCAAAGATTGACCCTGGCTCTTGTAATGGCAGTATACAATTGCTTCAGTTCTCCATTCAGCATCTGAAGCAGAACAAGAACAACAAAATCAAAATAAAGTAGAATAAATACCAGATGAGTTAAATTATTAGAAAGCGACACACTTTGCAGTTTTAAGAAAACAGCGAATATATACAGTGAATAACAAAAAATGTATCTTTAAGCAAGTCTAAATATTAAATATGTGACTTTTAAACTACATAAGCAATTGTCCAGATAATTTGCAAACTACTGCTACAGCAAACCTAGCAGCAGTAGGTCTGACTGTCCATCTTGTTTTGAATCACTTGCACATGCAATCACTTTTTTTTTTATTTTACATTACAATTCTGAAAATATCTGACTCAATTGATCCTAAAAAGTTTCCTTAATTTTAAGGGGATGACAGTGATCTGAAACCAAACTAAAATAATAATAAATAGCAAACCAGCTTGTCATTGTTTAACTATGGTAAAAATACCTAAAAGTCTAATGAGTTGACTTCGTTTCTTAACAAATTACATTCACAAAAAAGATCTTTCAAAAAAATCTTTAAACTACCGAAAAGATAAAACAACCTCAATAAACATGTAAATACAGGATGAAAGTATTTCTTGAAGAAATATCTCTATTTCTAGGAGTAGATTCCTATTCACCATGTTATGAAAAACTCACCTTGTACATTTTTACATTAAAAGGAGAAGGTCTCTTTTGCAAATCAGTAGCATCCTCTAAAGGCACTTCAATTAGCAATTTGCTTCCTACTTGCATATCTGAATCCGGAACATAAGAAGAAATGATCTTCCATTCTTTGCCAGCCTAAAATGTTAAAAGAACTAGATTACTTGTATACAGTAATCACTACTGCCCATATATGCAAAAGACAAGGTCATACATAGGTTGTGACCGACAAACACAGCCCCAGCTTAAAAATGGCTTAAAGGAGACAAGCAAGAAAAATTAATGATCTCAGGGAAGAACCTAAAGAAAGACCATCAACTGCCATCAAGAAGGCTAACTTCATAACTTTTGAGATACAAATCTGTACCAGGTGGCCATCAGGCTGAAAACACAGAACAAATTAAGAAGAGGTACATCTGGGACTTTATCTTCGGCAAACAAATCATCACTAGTGTTCGTGTAAATGATGATAGGGTGGAGCCCATAAACAAAACAAAGGGGTTGAAGCTGTGGAGGTGGATCTATCAGTATGACACACAGGCCTATTTCTCACCACGACTGTAAACCGGCAAGAGAGCTCATCAGTTATATGATTAATTTATTGAGCTCACAGTGCAACAGCAGTGGTCAGTAGTGCTGGTCTGAGCCAGGGGGTAGAGTATAACTGACCAACACACACTGCTACTTATAAGAAGGCCCAGAAATGACCAAAAAAATATTTGTGTGGGATAAAAGAGCCTGGTCATACTGCATTGGACTCCAGCATATGTATCTGTGAGTAATATCTCTGGAAGTGCACAAACATGCTTAAATGTTTCAGTGTGGTAGCAGATTTGTGTTGTACACTCTCAAGCCATGCAACAAGCATCAGCTCCTAATCACACCTTTCTGAAGGTTTCTGATCCCCCCACAAAACTAACAACACAGAAAATTCTAAGTACATTTTAAATTGTTATGCTAATTTTATTCCCTTTCAGACATTTTATGGAAAAATGATTACAAAGTGCCAAGTTTGTGCCAGAAACTGAAAAATACTCTTATTACGGCTAAATAAGCTATTTTTTACCCCTGTAGTTCAGAGACTCAAGCAACCCGATACAAGTTAGTCTTCTTTGTGAGAAAAAATACAGAAAACTTGCAAAGTGTATTTTGCAGTTCTGATTGCAATAAATCATCAAAACATTCCTAAGCCTGTTATGGATTACAAAAAGATCAATTTGGTCAATGGTTTGCTGGATTTTAAGGATTTGGCATTTTTTCTTTTTAGTTTCTTCATTGAAATTTGTCTCTTAAAACAAGACTCATTCTAAACCTCATTTCAAACCCAATAAAGACCAAATCAAATGAGTTACAAAAAGCTACGTATGCTGTCTTTACAACAGTTCAGAGATTCTCCTCCTCAAACCAGAAAACTTCAGTGTGAGCGTCTTCCTTGCCTGCTTGTTTGACTCCTCAAATCAACTCATTAACTCATGACTCACATGAGGATGGAAGATTTATATGAAAGTATTTCTCCAGGCTTGGCATGTATTAGCCTAGCTAAGTTAAAATACTCAACACACTTAACTCTGTTTTCTGCTATTAGTTCATTGTTTTTCTGAGCACAGCTCGCATCACCAAAAACACATCGACTTTGAGAAATCTATCATGACAACCAGTATTGCACTGTGCCTGAATCACAGTAAGCCACATTCAGTGTCACTTAAAGCAAGCACCTTCATTGTCCCTTCACCTCACTGTGTCTACTAGCCTCTATGAAAAGCCACCAGCAATTTGCTCTAGTTTTCTTTTATACAACTGTGGTTTTCAGTTGCTGAAAGCCACATCCGAGACACTGTTTTGAGGGCTAGAGGCAGAGGGCACCTGCAAGAGATGTTCACACTAAATGTGAAGTTACCCAACAAGGCAATTGTGGGAGTGTACAAGTCTCTGTAGGCATGCTCAGTAAGGATACTGCCTATTACCTGGCCAGGATGGGTCAGTGATGATCCAGCAACACTGGGGCTGCTGTGCCTGACAGCTCTTTGTGAGAAGCCTTGAGGACTGTATTCCCCCTGACTGACCACTCTCTCAGACATATGTTTTGATTTTTGGGTGTTCCTGCGGGGAGGCAGGAGTTGAATTCAGTCCTTGTTGGTCCCTTCCAACTCAGGATATTCTATGATTCTATGATCCCCACCAGTTCCAGAGCTACCTCAACCTCCGGAGGGGCAGGGTCTGAGCTACCTGGAGAACTACAAAGGGGGAAAAGGGAATAGATAAAAGCGACAACACCTCCAGGAAGGAAAGCCTTCTTCATTCAAGGTCATACTAGGGAAGATGGTCTCTGTCATAGACTCTGAGACCCTTCCAAGTTTCCTAACAACTCCTGAGCTAGACCAGAGTGAGTTTTCTGGAATTAAGCTGTGTATGGCTATAGAGCATGCTTCCCTCATCACACACATGCACACACTACTTGCTTCTAAACATAGTTGTTTTACTAAGCTTTTAATTTAAAAAAAAAATCCATTTCAACTTATCTGGGGCTGGCAAATGATTTCAAGTCTACACACTAAAAAAACTGCACTGTGAACATGCAAAGCAGGGGGTCTAAGGTGATTTTTTCAGGACCCAGCACCCCAGTATAAGGTAAAAAGTATGCAAGAATGGTGGACTGTCACACTTATTTCTCTGACCTGAACAGAGACCAGGAGGGACATGTTGCAAGCTAACAGAATATGTGGCAGAAGTATGCATGCACACCTGCTGTTCTGTGAACCCCAAGGCTCTCCCTGAATTGGCAAGAGACAATCTGAAGGAAAATGTAGCACTAAGGGAAGACAGGTTCTCACTTCATAAACCTATGAACTATATTTTTTACTGTGATGAAGCCACCTGCCTTAAGAGGAAACTGAATCCTTTTCCAGCGGGAAAGACAATTAGATCACATGTAAAATCAACACATTAAGGAAAAAAATGTAGAATATGGATAAGAATTAAATACCTCTGAGTCTGTGAAAAAGTTGTAAAGGAGTACGTCATCAAATTCCAAGCCCTTGGCTTCATAAACTGTCAGTACAAGTGCTAAACTGAGTTCCTTCGGTATTTTCTCCTTTGCTGTTTCGTTTGCAACTAATATTACCTAACATAAAATATATTAATAAAAGGATGTGTTAGAAAGCAAAAAATAACAGCCACAGGCAGAAAAAATAAATATGTCAAGATAAAGCAAGAGGTTTCTCAAAACCAGACAGGATTTAACACAGACATTTCAGCACACTACGCAAAGCTGCCCCTAGAAGACTGACAAATGCATGGTACAATGGGACAGATGCAGATCTGGTGTATGAAAATTTGGAGTTAGATAAGAATTGGACCAAAAAAATCATCTGATGCAATGAAGAGCAGGAAGAGCACGCATTAAGAAAGAATATATAGGACTGTCCATAATGTCTTTTAAAGTGATCATTTAATTAGCAACAGAGCTAGAAGAATCTGCGAAAAGCTGTATACCTAAGAAAACCAAACCTGATGTGCTCCAAATTCAATCGGTTGTGTTTTCCTTTTATTGCCCCTCAGCAGAATTGCTAGGTCACTAAAACTGCAGGACTCCAACACTGTAGGTTTGGGTCCATCAAAGAGACCACAGTCCTTTGGAAGCCGATCAAAAGATTCTGGGAAATAGCACTGAAGCAAATCAACCACTCCAGATGCTAGACGGAGAATACCTACAACAAGCAGAATATAGATTTTAAACTTCAGTCAGGCTGCCTCATACTCACTTGCAAACACACTAAAAAGACTGTTAGATTTTTGAAAATCAAGAAATATGACAAAAAACTACTAGTCAGAGAAAAAAGAAGCTGTAAGGTCCACCTTGTTTCTACTTAGGCCTGCATAGATCTAAAACATGCTACAAATACTTAGCAGTGTCCTCAATAAAACGAAGGTCATAAACAAAACTAATATGAAAAACAGAAGTAGCTCAATCCTGCAAGATCTAGCAACTTGAGGATGGAGCCAAAAAAGCATGCATGATTACTTTCTGTTAGGTTTTCATTTACATCAGATATAGACAAAACATGCAGTAAGCATGAGTGTTTGAGAAGTTACTATTTTTCAAGTGTTCATTTTTGGTTTTCCAGTTGAGATGTCACAAAAAGCTAATCATCTAAAAAAAAAAAAGCCCGCTTAAAGATGCTTTGAATTAGCCAGTAGAAAACTTCAATAATTTGTGACATCTGAAAAGCACTGGCTGAGATAATAAATTTGTTACTCTACCTGAATGGGACCTGTAGTTCTGGTACAATTGATATATCCTTTTTGGTTTTCTAACACGCTGCTTCTTGTTTATGGAGTTCTTGCTTGCATAATGGAACAGTGACCTCAGATCACTAAAACGAAAAGCAACTCCTTTCATTATGCTCTGGGCAGTGTCACCAGTTAGAAACATGGCATTAGGATCATTGATGCATTTCATTAACAGCACTAGCTCAGCTTGGGTGAAATCCTGAATCTCATCACCATAAAACTCATGGATGGACCATGGCAGCTCACTGAGCTTTGACAGTCTTTGAGATAAATTATATAGCAAGTCTTCTTCATCAAAGTAGCTTCTCTGAGACCTTATTTGCTGATAAAGATCGAAGAGGCGATAGATTTCACTCCTGTCTTCTGTGAAGTTTGGTGATCTCTTCAGACCTAGCTTTTTGTACCCCTCCTCAGTGAGCTTACCCCCAGTGCAATTCAGCGCCTCAAAAGAGCCTTTCAGAAATGATTTTATTTCTTTCCAAACCAGTGCAGGATTGTACAAGCTTTTACCTTTCACCATTTTTGGCCATATTTCATTTGCAAATACATCGTAAGTCACAAAAGTACGAGGGTCACTTTCCCTAGAGTGTGCATCTGCAGCTCCTTCCTCATCACCATGTTCCACTTCAGCATTACCTTCTTCATTCTCATCTTGCCAATTTGGCACCACCAACTCTTCCTGGGGACTCCAACCAACAATGGTTCTTTTAAGGCTTCCATCTTCATTCCTTGGAAAAAATGGGTCAGGCATGGATGCATCCAGTAACAGCAACAACTGCTTGGAGGTGACAAACAGTGGGAAATTTTCATCTTTAATATCTTGTAGCCTATGAACACTTGGTTCCAGAGGCCTGAAATGACTGGTTATCTTAGATGATTTGCTAAGTTCAATGAAATTCTTCTGAACTTCCTGGCACAAGACAGGATTTTTTGTCACAAAGATCTGGTGCAGGTGCTCCAGGCTGTTCAGTGTTTCTGCACTACACACATGGTCTTCATGGTCATCACATAGATTTGTGTCTCCACCAGTTGTGTCCACAGGAACCTTTTCATCCTCACTGCCTTGCACATCACTCACCTGCTCCTCACTGGAATCATCACTGTCTTGTTTTTCTCCATGCTCTTCCTTCTCTAACCTCACTTTTTCAGCTTCACTGCACTGCTTCTGCCGCCAAGTTTGCCTTGCCAGCAGAGGACTATTTGCCATGGTGGATCTTTCCCAGTACAAATAGAATTTCTTCCAAAGCCTATACAAGCAGCAAGTTGTTTTCCCTGTCCCACTTCGCCCAATTAAAATGATTGGTTCTATGGGCTTTGGATTGAGGTTAATCACTGCATGCTCCAATTCCCCCACTCGGAATGGGTATTCAACAGCAAAATGTACATCATTTATAATGTTAAGTGCCATGTTAGTACTGAAGCTGTGGAATTTCATTATATTGTATTCCATTTCTGCAGCACTGGCTGGAGGGAAATATTCAGGGAAAGTATGTTCTTTTGATTTTTCTGCTTCCAGATCTTCAATGTAACAACGCGGAACATGCTTTTTTACTGTCCTGTTGTAGCTCTGATGTCCTTTATTGATGCCCTTGAGCTTCTTCCTTAAGATGCAGGATAAACCCCGATTGTAGGATATACATATGTTATCTAAGACACGTTTCAGCTTGCAGTGGTCAAGAACAATGGCCCAAATTCTGATAATTTCTGTGTAAACTCTTCCTGATTTTTCTGGAAGACCTTTTGTCTGTTCTGTCTCCATAATCTTTTCTGCACTCTCACTGCAACGAGGAGAAAAGTCAATCGCAAGTTCCCATAGCATTCTTGCACCTTTGCCCAATTTGGCTTCATAGAGCTGGATATCAGCTTTCAAATGTTTCAGTGGCTTCTGAAGAACCTTAGTCCATTCCCCATTGCCAAGATGCTTAATCGTCATTATAGTTTTAGTTTTCAGATAAGGAGGTACAGCTTTGCTGCTCAACGTCTTCAACGTTTCAGGAGTGCACTCTATTTCCCAGGTCATGTTATCAAACTCCTGCACATGTGCCTCTATATCCAGAATATCTCCTTCCTCTTCCTCTGGTTCTTCCTTCTCTCCATTAGAGAGGTCCATACTAAATTCTTGTGTTTCCATCTTTTTCTTCCAGTCATCCCCTTTTCCTTCAGGATTAATCACATTTCCACAAGGTTGTGATGATTCCTTTTTTCCCTCTTCCATAGTAGTCTGGGCTGAAAATGGCTTTTGTAACAGAGAATTATTGTTTCTCAATGTGTCACCTAATTTTAATTGCTGAATTAAAGCTCTGATTTCCTGCACTAGACTTTCCTGCAGAGTTAAGGGGTTCTTTATTTTTTCCATTTCCTGCTTCACCAACTGATCATTTTTTGTCTTTACAGAACATGAGGTTTTCACATCGTTATGTGTTGTGTTTCCAGATGGTGCTTTTAATAATGACCCAGATGAAGAACGTCCTGAGCTCTTCGTCTGTGATATGTCAGAGACAGGAGCAGACTTAGGTGTTTTAACTGACTGTCCTGCTATATTCTGCCGGTACTTCTTCTCTGACACAGCAGTTTTCCAAGCAAGTAGCAGTGGGTCATTTTTTTTAATTCTGTGCCTCACATCTCTTCCTAGTTTGTTTTTTATATTGAAGTTAATATCAAATTTTGCCAATGAATCCATTATTTTCTTAGTTTGCTTTAAAAATCCTCTCTGAAAAATAACATGCATCACTGTATCCCCATTCTTATCTTGTATGTTTGGATTAAGATATGGAAAGTCAGAAGGTCTTGAAGCAAAGAGATCAAGCAGATAGTTCAGAATGTTTAAACCAATGACATCTGGAAATGACAAAAAAAAAACAACAGTTGCTTTACAATGCTGCTTTGTAGGCCAACAAATTTTAATACCTTTTTTTTTCCTACAGTTACTAAACAAAAATCAATTTGCTTTCAAAATACAAATTCTACATTATATGTTTGTAAAATGTACCTGGTTGAAATATCTCAAAACAGCTTTTTCAATATTCAGGAAAAACAATACAGTGGCAGCAAAGCTCTAAAAATCTCTAGTGTTGCAACTGCTCCTGTAGCATCAGTCAATTTAATTCCTTATTCTAACATCCAGGTGCAGACATTCATTCATCTTCCAGCATCAGTTACCAAAAGCTGGTGGTTGTGGTCATGTAGACAAGCGGAAGCTCTGTGTACTGCTCTGGGGTCATCTGGTTCACTTTAATATGCTACCCTGAAGGAATCTGAAGCAGATAGCTTAGAGTTACTAAACTAACCTGTGGCAAATCCCAACTATTTCCTGATATCTGAGGGTCCCAGTGCAATTTCCTACAGGATAGAATTAGTCCAATAACTCCCTGAATAAAAAAATAAAGAATTCTACAGCTTTCTGATTATCATCCAGATAATATAAGTTATTTAATCCTGATAATACATGTGAAACATTTCTTTCCTAATAAAATTAGTGACTCAAAATCACTAGAGGAATTTCACCTCAACTCTGCACAATAAAAAAAATTAAAAGATACCACGTTTAGACTTCTAACTCTTCTGATTTAAAATCTATAGTTGGCAGTACCTACGTTTTCAATCTCTCTGAGGCCATTTAAATGAAATGTGTTTAAAAGTGAACAAATAGTGTTTTAAAATTTAAAATGCCTTTTTTCTTAACTTAAAGAAAAATCAAACCTGACTTTGGGGCTTAATTTGACAGTCGCTCTGAATTTCTTACATTTACATGTAAGCCCTACAGTTCTGCCACTCACTCCTCTGAACAAAACTTTGCTTGAATTACAACTGAAAAAACGGGAAAGAATTTCAGATATCACTGTCAGATTTCCTTCAAGGTACGCTGCCATCACCCTGCCTTTATATCCTAGATCCTTCATATTTACATCATTCTCACCTAGAACAAATTTTACAGGGTTTCAAAGAATTGTCTTTTCAAAATCAGCTCAAGTAAACAAGAATACAGTCACAAAAAAACAGTAAGTGATTACATTACAGCTGTCTGAATCCCACTGGTCACCTGAGCTGCCATTAACTTTCCTCATAGCCCCAGCCCCAGCAAACAAAATGTAGAACATCAGATTAATAAAGACTGGTGCGTATCCTCTGGTCTGCAAAGTTTGGGGGCTGAGACATGGCCAAACAGCCTGGTCTGCTGCCTCTACTATCACATCAAAAAAAAAAGCAGTGAAAGTGGCAGTGGACTAGACAGGGAAGAAATAAGATGTCTTCAACAGTTGTTGTGAAAAAAAGAATGATGCAAATCTGCTCGAGACATTTGTGTGCCCTAGACCCAGGCACACAAAAGCCTTACCTTTTTTATCAAAATAAATGTAAACTGCAGCATGCAAGGGAGTATCTCCTTGTGCAATGGAGATATTCTTAGGATCTGCACCCTTAATCAACAGCAAATGCACCAGTTCAAAATAATTCTTTTCCAGGCATATTTGCAATGGTATTTCAGAGTTGGCTCCAATCCCATCTGGCAGAGCTGGTATGAAGGACATGAAAATATCAGGGGTTAAATCTGATACAACAGATCTGCAAACTACAGAACATGCTAATCAGAAGATACATACTGATTGCAGAGCAGGCTTTTTTTTTTTTTAACATCAACCTTTTATGTGTGTCTGTTAAAGAGCTTTTGTCTATGAAAGTCTTCAAACCTCTGATCTTCCAATAATCTGAGCAACCAGTCCTTCCATTGCAATAGGAAGACAGACAGGCCAGAACATATCTTCAAGAAAGTCAGTGACTGAGTCAAACAAAGAGCTTCTTTGCAACTTCAGCCACTCACAAGGCTGTAGCAGGAATGTATGCCTGCAATTTATGGCTAGCATGAAGTTGAAGTGAAAGAGGGCAGAGTAATCCTAGAAATAAGCCTCAGGCAAAACAAGAAAAACGATGGCCACACTGACTACAAAAAAGTTATCTGATCATGCCCCCTAAATAACTGAAGTAGCCAATTACTTGTAACATGACAATGGACTGAACCCAAAGACCGTGGCTCACAGTTTCTACCAGGATAATATTGTGGCTTAAGACAGGGAAATTAAAACCCAAGAGAACTACAAGAAAAATGACCAACAATAATCCTTGGCCTTTTTACTTCCAAATCCAACTCTGACAGCCAAATTTCACTCGAAAAACAGGTTAACACTTATACAGAGCCACAAAACCATGCCTTTGTAGTTCTGGAACTATGTTGCTTCAAACATGCATAACAAAATATCTTTTAAGACATTAGTATTGCAGCTTTTCACCTCCATTTTCGATCAAGCATCTTATGAGGTATATTTGCTCATTCAATCCATCACACTGCTGGATAACGCTGCCAATGTCAACGTCTGAAAGACTGCAGGTTTTGAAGAGTCCTCCACCTAAGGTCTCTTCCCCACTGGCTTTCCCTGTTAGCAACAGCAAAACTTCATGCCACATTTGCTTCTTCAACAACTGTTTTATAAAGCTGTTAGCACAGGCTTGGGAGATGTTGCAAACCGCTCCTTTAGGGATTTCTGCAAGACAGTCAAGACAACATAACTTGGTTAAAACCTGACAAAATACATATCCACGTAAACAAATTTCAGATGATGAGCTCATTAAATTCAAAGCACACAATAGCAAAATTCTACATTCGCATCCTTTTGTCTTGATGCTAACAGACAAGTAAGTTTGAACACTTTGATTCATGATACTCATTTTTTTGTGCATATTCTGGTGGGTTTTAGATGTGAAACACAACAGTAAAAATAAGGAAATGCATATTGTTCCAGTAATATCAGTTGCATAAACAGGGAAGCAAAGGAAGAGTAACAACAGAACCTGCACATTAGCATCAAATACATTTTTCACAACAATGAAAGAAGGGGAGAAATGGGAACTCACTGTACCTTTCACAGAAGAAAGCAGTTTCAGAAATCCCTGAACCTCATCTTTCTTCAATACATTTGTGTTATGTATCCCATTTTCACAACTGCAGAACTTGACAAACTGTTCAAGAGCATCCAGGAACGAGTCAACTACAGCTCTGCTTTTATCTTCTTCTGCAAAACATTACAGAAATTGAAAACATGGTTCCTTGATGTCATGTGTTTAGCAGAGGACTGTAATACATTATTATACTTCATATCCCAAAGCATATTTGATACACTCAAATACTCTTTACATTAGTACCTCAGGCTGAAAATTGCAATAGTTCCTAAGTTGACCTGCATGCAGGCAAGACATTGCTACCTCACAGTGGCAAGACTTTTTAAAGTGACTAAGAACAGTGGCTTTCCAGCATACAATTTTGATCAGATGTCCTGAATTTGTCTGAATCCTTGCTGGCATTTAAGAAATAAGGCCAAAAAATAATTTGCCCATTTAATACTCAAAAAAACAAACAACTAAACAACAACAACACACAAACACACAGCAGAATGACAGCTATAAGTTTAAGAGATACTGAGATACTCAGGTAATGGACAATGGCAGATTTTAACACACATCTTAATAATAACAGTCCTCTTAAATGAAAACTAAGACTTGGTTTGACTTTCCTAAAATCTCTGAGGAATGTAGGTACATCAAAGATCAAACAAAACAGTAGCTTTACGCCTTAGAGCAAAAAAATAAACAGGGCTGGTCATCTTTTTAGCAACCAGGATTAACCCCTGGTGTAAAGCAGCACTTCATTCTCCAGCCTCTTGCTTTGCTTTAAGACCTACAAAGCTCCTGGGAGCTGTGCACTGCAGAAAGTAAATTGACCACAAAAGACACGCAGAGCTACCCAGAACACCAACTAAAGCAGTTACCACCACAGCAGCAGCAGCAATGCAAACTTCCTGAGAACCACTACGCTAGGACCTTCTCCAGGAAAAGGACAAGAGACCTCTACAGTAAAGAAACAAGAACTGTGGGAATCTGCTTGCCAGGCTCCTGAAGGTTCAAGTGCAATGAAATCCAGTGCTTTCAAGTGTATTTTGCACATAAGCCTACTGCAAACCAGAGAGATGGTCTAAAAGCTTTGCTTTTAGACAAGTTTGACCTGCCTGTGCAGTCTTTTGCTCCACTTGACATCTGCACAATAGGAGGAAGTTCTAGTTTGAAAAGGTTACGCTTTGGGCTAACACAGTAGAGTCCTGCTAATACAGATATTACTTTAAAGCTCTGGTTGGCTACTGCCAGGGAAAAAAAGATCAGGCACCAAGCCATCTCAGAAAGGTTATACTGAAGAAATGGTTTCAAGATGAACAAACATCTTGCTTGGGACTTACAGACCTTGTTTTAAACTGAAGTCTAAACCAGGACTTATCAAGGTCAGCTGCAGGACCTGCCTCCTGTTTCTGAACCTGAAACTCCTGCAGGAACATCTTGTCTAACTGGCAAGTCAGTTCTCACGTGGATGCTCACAAGTGCTTCTCCAAACAGCCTCCTAGAACTGGATCCTCTGCTGGAAATGTCTGTGGCACAAATACAGTCTCTTTTAGAGTTGTAAGAATCTACCAAGCTATAGTGCCATACTGCTAAGAAAGCACCTTCTTTCTGCAGGGACCCTTCATCCTTTGGGTAAGGAGTTCCTCATCTCCCATCTCAAAACAGGTCAGCATTTTTTCATACATGTTCATCATTTCAGGGCTTCTCTTTTTGGTCAGCATTTTAAAATATACTACAAATACTTTTACCAAGTGTTTCATTTGCCAAAAACTAAGGTGAAAAGGTCAAAACGGAAAAAGCATCAAAAAGATGAAGTTTCTATCAGAATCACAGAATCATCAAAGTTGCAGAAGACCTCCAAGATCATCTGGGAGGTCCAACCACCTTACCATCCCCCATTCCCCTACCGCCAATATCACCCACTAAGCCATGTCCCTAAGCACCATGTCCAACCATTCCTTGAACACCTCCAGGTATGGTGATGCCACCATCTCCCCGGGCAGCCCGTTCCAATGACTACTCTTTCTGAGAAGATGTGTCTCAGAATTTCCAACCTCATTTCTGTCCTGGTTTCAGCTAGGACAGAGTTAATTTTCCTCCTAGTAGCTGGTATGGTGTTATGTTTGGGATTTAGGACGAGAATAACGTTGACACCACACTGATGTTTTAGTTGTTGCAGACCAGTGCTTACACCAAGTCAAGGACTTTCAGCTTCTCCCACTGTCCTGCCAGCAGGCAGGCTGGGGGTGCAGCAGCTGGGAGGGGACAGAACCGGGACAATTTCCTCCCCTGGTGCAACTTGAAGCCATTCCCTCTAGTCCTATTATTAGTTATCTGCGAGAAGAAGCCAACCCCAGCTCCCCACATCTTCCTTTCAGGTAGTTGTAGAGAGCAATAAGGTCTCCTCCCTGAGCACCCTCTTCTCCAGACTAAACAACCCCCGTTCCCTCAGAGGTTCCTCACAGGACTTGTGTTCCAGGCCCTTCACTAGCTTCATAGTTCTTCTCTGGATACATTCTGGGGCCTCGATGCTCTTCTTATAGTGAGAAAGGGGGACGATCACCTCTCTGGTCCTGCTGGCTCCACTATTCCAGAAACAAGCCAGGATGCAACTGGTCTTCTTGGCCTCCTGGCACTGCCAGCTCATGTTCAGCACCCCCAGATACTTTTCCTCTGCACAGCTTTCCATCCACTGCCCCAAGCCTGCAGCATTGCATGAGGTTGCTGTGATCAAAGTGCAGGACCTGGCACTTAGCCATGGGGGGGGAGGGAGGTGGAGCCTTGTGCTAAGGGAAAAAAAACACCAGCAGCTTATAGATACTTGATACAACTTGTAGTTAGTTACTTATTACATGACTGCATGGTAAGTAAAGAACATAGTTGGACAGCAGACACCTTCAGACAAGGACAAAGTGTTCACCATTGACTTAGTGTGATGACTCATACAGAGGGTTACATAAAACCCACCTGATATTACCAATTACAAATGAAACAATTTTGTACCTAAAACACATAATTTAAAAACAGGAAAAGTACAGAATCCATGCAGTACCTTCCAATTCCACAGAGGAAGAAGTGTGTTTCTCAGTGTGATCTCTGACTGCTTTGACAGCATTAAAGTTTTTATTCTTTTTCAAGATATCTATGACGTATCTTGACCGTGCATCTGGAATGGTAGGATCAACCCCAAAGCTCAGGAGCATGAGCACATCTTCTGTTTGACCTAAAATTAAAAGGAAAAGCATTAGAAGAGTAACTCCCATTGTTCGGGTTCTTTGTTTGTTTTAAAGACCATGACATAGTTACAACATAATTTTATTTAAAAAATAGTTATCTTATTTTTTCCAGTGTCATAAGAATGTTATGTAGGTATTATCCACAAAAGTATTGTTAGGTATTGTCCCAAGAAGAAACCAAAGAGCTGTTAAAAAAAATCGAAACCCTATCTTCATTAGCGTAAGTTGGGAAAAGGGAACAAAAACAAAGCAACTTGATCCCTCAAGAGCATATCACGGGCCAGAGGCAGCAGGTGGAATACATCTCCTCCCTTTATGCCCCAGTCCTGTTCTCCAGTCTCTAGGCAAACTGCTTGGTATATAAATAAATAAATAAGGAGGATTTTCTATTGGTTATAAGATAACTTAACAAAACAAAGTCTCTTACATATTCATGTTTGAATATATATAGCTAGGTACTGATTCTCTTTCCTTTGCAGCATGAAACACATTTTTGTGGTAATAAAGCCTTGTAACAAAGCTTTCTACTTTGACTAGGCAGGTACCATTGTTTTCAATGGAAATTACTATACTTGTTTTGAAACTGATTACAGATAAAACATATATACAGTACATATAACAGTGATTTAAGGTCTTGACACAGTATTTAATATTCTGGAAGATGACATGCTCTCTTACTGTGTCACACTGCACTATCAGGGGCGCTTCACAGCTCTGCAAGCAGTTGCCTGTATTCATCTCAAAGAGCTGCTTATTTGCTATAAGCCATGCCAACAGAACAGCTGAAGGAGCACAGGAACACCAAAATACCAAGTCATGCAGGAGAATGCTGAGCAATGCTGCACAAAGAAGTGTTAGACCACTACGCTTCCCCCAGGCACAGCACCACAACACATAGTCTGTTATATGTGCTGAAAGCAAGACCTGGATAAGAGTGATGCAAGCTAACACAACTGTTGTGCTTTGTGTGTCTAAGGCAGACCATTCAAGCTACTTTAGGGGTTATTTTTTGTAAGTGGAGGGATGCAAGTGTTTTTTTTTAATTGTTTTTGTTTGTTTGTTTTTTATGTATCTATAAATATATATATATATGGTTTCTTCTGGAAACACGGGAGTCTTATAGCAACAGATGGAACTGCTGTAATAGAAGTGTGGCTCCTTTCTAGTAAAGGTAATTAATTAGATATAGGCTGTGTGCATCTCATTCATACTATAAAGAGAACCACCAGAATTTCATTGCATTCAGTGACTGTGAAGCGTGGAGTTATCTTGGTTCTGATGCTTGTTTCCTCTTGCCAACCTAGTGTACAGAGTAAGAAATACAAGGAAAAAAGCCAGGCTAAGTTAGAAGTAGTATCACAGAAAATGTGAACAAAAAAGCATTTCATTTTTCACCTCTGATAATGTGCACTGCTAATTAGATATTAAAGTTTCACCTAGCTAAAACAAACAAAAACAAACAAACAAACAAACAAACAAAAACAAAAAAAAAAAAAAAAAAAAAAAACAAAAACAAAAAAAAAACACCAAGAACCAACACTCAGGACAGGTTTCCTAAAGGCCTCATATGATTTTACAGGCACATCAAGATTTAAAAGGTAACTAAAAACTAAAGCATACTTATGGGAAAAATCAAAACGAGTCAAATCAAGGAGCAAAGCAGGTGGTCACCAAATCAGGTATACAGCTTTAGAAGGGAATTGCTGAAATGTTTAATCATTGGTTACTACTATAAAAGTCTGTATCTAGATAACAGGGCTGTCTCGTTTTCTTCCCTAGCCCAAAATAGTAAACACTACAGTCTGAAGTTTTCTTCTGTTCTTCACTTTTCCATATGAAAACAAACACACCAATACAAAAAAAAAAATATATATATATATATCACTAATAGGAATAAAAAGAAGGTATTTACTGTGTTTCCGGGAGTATTCACTGGAAGATGCCACAATATGCAGGAGGGTGCATCCGTCTCTGTCTTGCTGGTTTATTGTATCCCTCAAGTCTGGCTTCTGAGTCAATAACCACCTAAAAATATGGTTCCTTCCTGAAATAATCAAGAAAATTATTCTTTATAAGTAGTAGACAGATATAACAGAATTAGATTTTTTTGGTTTTTACACCTCCCCCCCACTGTAAAGTGGGAAGATGCACCTGTATGAAACCTTTTCTCAAGCATTGTAAGAGACAAGAATACATAAAAGAAATCATGGTAACAGCCAGTTGCACTATGGGAGACACGATGCTCCACTCTCACTGACTCGCAGCATGTGCCACTCAGGAAGACTTATGACCTTAGCACATAGAGAAATTGTTGCTCCACACTGAGATGGCAAGAAGAAATACTGTATTTTCATCAAAGCTGACACATTTAGGTTCTGGAAGACCCATATCAAGCACTCTTACAATCCAAACCACAAAAGAGAACATCCATATTAAATTTGTATCACTATCAAGCACAGATGATCAAGAGTAGTTTAAAACACTTTAAGAATGTGTTTCATTGATACATGCAAGGTCATACCGATATGATCTGATCTCATTAGATTTACTTTTTAAAACAAACAAAAACAAAACAAAAAAACCCCTGTCACTTCTCTGAAGATAACACTTGACTTTAACAGTGGATGTAACTTACTTGCTTTGATACATAGTCTGATAACAGCATGAAGAGGATAAACTCCAATGGTTTCAACTTTTGCCCCAATGGAAATTAGCCATTTGACTAATTCTGCTACGTCTTGCATCTTCCCATCACATCCATATGACTCAAAAGTCTGATTAAGAGAATAACAACACATTATTTTACATATCCAGAAGACAGTGTTTTTTTAAATCGTATTTCCATGTTTTTTTATAGACAGGAATAGGCGGAAGAGTAACAACCATACCATATCCGTTGTTAAAATCAAGCATTTATTACATATGTACAGTTTCAGTAGAAGCTCAAAACAAGTATGTTTCTCCTATGACATGTTCACGAGTTTTGAAAGAATCTTGTCATGCTCTGAAAAGCACTGAAACTGAAGTCTATTTTATAATACCTATTTCTGTTTTTCTTCAGTGCAGTTGAGAGTAACTTTCTGCCTTATACAGCTATTGAATGTTACTGCATCTCACTGTACCTGTTGTTGTAACTAGGAATTGCACTTTCTTAGCTCAGATGAGGCAGCTTATGAAGACAGTTACCCTAAAGCAAGAAAAGACTGAAGAAATACATGAAACTGGAAAAAGGGAGCAATTGTCTGAGAGAAGGAGGCATAGGGAATTCAGGTAACGTCTCCATATACGGGTCAGGAGCACCATGGATGGAAAAAACAGGACAAGGCACTGCTCTCTCATCCAGCTCAGGAATCATCTAGACATTAAGATCATTAAGACAGCAATGATAGTATGATTGCTCACATAAAGAAAAGGTGTTAAGCCTTTAGGAGACAGATTTTAGGCCAAATACATCCCTAGAAGGTGATCTGATAGAAGTATAGATTTTACAGGAGAATTTATACACCAAGATCAAGAGCACAGACTGAGCAGAAGGCAGCTGAACCAAAAAAAAAAAAAGAGTGTTTCAGCAAGGACTTAATGAACACGAAGTATAGTCTACAAGCAAGGGGGGCTGCAATACAGGAGCTCTGGAGGTAGGCAGAGGAAGCTCAGAGGGGAATTGAGACAATATACCAGAAGGATCTAGACACGAGGGGGTGCTCAAAAAACAGTATTCAGACAATTTCTCCATTTGTGCATTTTACTGCTACAGATGCCATCTGCTCCTGCACACGCACAAGGCAAGCACAGCCAGGCAGCAGCAACAGTTAAAAGACACATAAGCGTGGCAGTTTCTGACAGCTGGAAGGTTTTCTTTCAACACTACCCCTTCCTCCCTCCATAACAACAGAAAGCTTTGGAGGTTCCCAAACGTCACAGAACAAGAGGAATCACAACATAAACTAAAGCAAGAAAGATGGAATTCCACTGCAGATGTCGTCACCTCAGCAAAACGCATTACAAGTCTACTTGGTCTATGAGGACTTGTTTCTGTCTTGCCCAGGTTCCCTAAATCATCTGGGAAGTGTCAAAACCTTCAGCAAGACAGTTCAGCAGGTGCTGCCTGCATCTAAGCAGTGTACCAAAAATCTGCGGCACCAAAAGAAGAGAAAATTCCAACAGTACCGAGCTCAGTCTCCCGTAATCATACTCAGCATCATGAAGTGGGCCAGAGGCAGGCTGGCAAAGCATGGTAATACTCTATCCCAGGAATACTGGGGGCTATCCTGGTTGGAAAACAAACCAACTTAACAGATGTTAAACACTTTTTCTACTTTAAATGTAGTGTCAGGTTCCAGGTCTGACATGAATGTATTTTGCTGTATTTGAGAGGAAGACGTCTTGTGATTAATTAAATGAAATATTAAATTACCTAGAGAAGCTATACAAATTAAGGATTTTTTTTAATGATTAAATGAAAACAGACAAAAGAGATGATTTAATATAATGAAGTCCATATATTAGTTTCCATATTATTTTCCTTTCTTCTGTTTTACAAGCCTTGCCCACAAGATGGAAAATCTTTTACTCTAAAGAAAGAAGAAACAAGAAAAAAAGGATGATACATTACCTCTAAGAGATTTTTCAGTGATAACTGGTTGACTCTGAGATTGGCGGGTAATTCTTTCTTCTTGGACAACAATAATAAAAAAGACTAGAAAAAAAATGTGATCTTATAAGCACATTTAGAAACTTTATTTTCCACTGCCTCACTGGACGTCATAGGAGAGCAAAACAAGGACTAACAACATTTCAGATTTTTTTTTTTTTAAGATAAATGGAAAGGGAGATCGAGCAATACATTATCAAATGAATTAATGTAATACACATTATTTAATGTAATATACAAATTAAAACAATATAGTAGTCTGTGGGAAGCTATGATCAATGAAAATTTAATCAGAAATAGAAACTACATAGAAAGATCAGATGCTAAAAGTCTCTCCAGTACACTTCCAGTAAAGACCCTTTTCAAGAAGGGTGAGAAAGTTGACCTTGGTAATCACAGGCCTGTCAGACTCACTTCAGTGCCTGGTCAAATTAAGGAAAAGATTATTCTGGGAGTTATTGGAAAACATCTGAAGGACAACGAGGTCACTGGTCATAGACAACACGGGCTCATGACAGAAAAGTTCCATTTAACTAGATTAATTTCCTTTTATGACAAGCTTACCCATCTAGTTGACCAAGGGAATTTGATGTAATCTTTTTGGATTTCAGCAAAGCTTTCGATACTGTCTCTGGACAAAACGTCCAGCATACAGCTAGACAAGAAAATAATACGATGAACAACTGGCTGACAGGTTTGGCTCAAAGGGTTATAGTAAATGGGGTTACATCTGGTCAGTAGCCAGTCATTAGTGGGGTTCCCTAAGGCTCCATTTTAGGGCCAATTCTCTTCAATGTTTTAATCAGTGATCTGCATGCAGTACTAAATGCATACTAAGTAAGCTTGTAGATGATACTAAATTAAAAGGAGCTGCTGACTTCCTTGAAGGCAGAGAGGCCTTGCAGAGAGATCTCCACAAGTTAGAGGACTGGGCAATTACCAACAATTGGAAGTTTAACAAGTGCTGAACTCTGCACCTGTGATGGGGGAACCCTTTTGGTGTACACGAAGTACAGCACCACTAGCTGGTTGAAGGAAGTGACTGTCCCACTCTGATCTGTGCTGGTGTGGCCTCAGCTCAAGTACTGTGTGCAGTTTTGGGCACCACAATGTAAGAAACACATAAAACTACAGAGAGTGTCCAAAGAAGGGCTACAAAGATAGTGAAGGGTCTAGAGGGCAAGATGTATGAGGAGCAGCTTAAGTCAATTGGATTGTTCAGCTTGGAGAAAAACAGACTGAGGGGAGGCCTCATGGCAGCCTGCAGCTCCCTCATGATGGGAGCAGAGGGGATGGCGCTGAGCTCTGCTCTCTGGGGACAGCAACAGGACCCAAGGGGACAGCATGGAGCTGGGACAGGAGAGGTGTTAGGAAAAGGTTCTGCACCAAGAGGTGGTTGGGCATTGGAACAGGCTCCCCGGGGAAGCAGTCACAGCTCTGAGCCTGTTGGGAGTTCAAGAAACATTTGGACAATGCTCTCAGACATAAGGTTTGATTTTGGGGTGGTCGTGCAAAGAGTCAGGAGCTGAACTTGATCATCCTTGTGGGTCCTGACAATTTGGAATATTCTATGATTCTATAATTCTATGCTGTGATTTGGTTTGGCAAATGACCTTTAACGTTCATGGGGATGAGACTCCCCGTGTATACCAACCTCCTGAACAGAAAGCAAGAAATGGCCATGCAACATTTTGCCCTTTCTTAGCTAAGTTTCCCCAACATGTCCAGCCATGGCTGCTGGGCCCTGCTGTGTCCTGTCTGCAGTCAGACAATCAGAGTTGGCTAGAACTGACTGTGTCTGCACAGAACTGCCCCAGCCTTGTCTCATCACAGGAGCCCAGCAGCCCCCTGACAGCACCTCACCAATACCTCATAATTGTGATGATGATCCATTTTTCATACAGACATACGTAATGGTCAAAGTTGGAAGGGATCTCTGAAGGATCATCTAGAGCACATTGCACAGGATAGCATCCAGGCAGGTTTTGAATACCTCTAGAGAAGGAGACTCCGCAACCTCTCTGGGCAACTTGTACCAGTGCTCTGTCACCCCCACATTGAAGAAATACCCTCTCATATTGAGCCAGAATCTCCCGTGCTTCAATTTGTGCCCCTTGCCTCTCATCCCCTCACTAGGCACAACTAAAAAGAGACTGGCTATATCCTCTTGAGACAGTCAATACAAGATAATAGGATTAAAATAAATTATCCTTCTGATTTTCTTAAATACTCTGGCTTTAACAACTGTATACTTCCACTGAGATGCTCCTCTATTTGTAGGTCTTTCACAGGCAGCTTCAAAAATCCACCTAGCCACACAACAAAAGGACACCACTAATAAACACATATTTCTCCCCTTAACATCTTTCAAGAATAAACACCCCTAGATAGCACAATTACATAGACAACAGCAAGAGATGAGCAGGACCCTTGGTTAATTTATCCTTTTGAGAAATTATTTTCAGGAGTTATTTAGCACTAGGAGTATTTCTGAAGTCTAAAAATCAAGCATTTGAATGAGGAAATACTTTTTTTTCTTTTCAATTTAAAAGTAACACAAGCTTACCCTGAACAGGTACCAAATGAGTGCCTATTACACAGCAATACATAACACTTGTTTTCACAGGGACAGACTTACCCGCCACTTTCCTTTCTGGGCCAACTTTTCCATCACTGCTTGCCAAATCAGTGCATTAAACCTTGCACTGAAAATATAATCATATGCATGGTGAAAAGTTGGTGGAAAGACTCGTTCATCTGCAAGAAGAAGCATTTATGGAAAGTTTTTAATATATACACAGCTTTTAAAGTTGCTGTCTACAACTAAATTAGTTCGCTGCACGTGGACAGTTTTAGTACTGATTAGTGCCCAGAAGAATGCCAATAGGGAACACAAATCTGACTTATTTAACACTACATGCCTTGGCGACTCAACTGAAATGGTGCCTTGTTACCAGCAGCTGGTCTTCATTAAACACAGAAAAAAATAAAACCTGCCCTCAAGAAACACCCCTAAGTTCCACAACATTGTAAACTTCATGGTGATATTGCCACTAGTAGATGCTGCTAAGCTAATCAACATCCTTAATATGGGGCTGAGTTCAGGTGAATGCAGCACAGGCACAACACAAAACCTTTTGGCACACCTCCAGGTCCCATCAAACAAAGCTTGCAAGCCAAACAAAAAAAAGCAAACAAGAAGAAACTGAGGAGAGAAGGGAGACATACAGCAAACATTACTTGAAAAAAAGCACATAATGGCAGAGAAAGGTCAAATTCTGTCTTCCCATTGGTGTCCTTTATTAGCTGAGGGACAGTCCCCCACAGGAATACACTACAATATGAGCTTAAATTTAAGCTATCTTCTAATTATTTTCAAATCTACTTAGCTAAAAGGAAAAGCAGAATGGTTTGCAGAAAAACTAAATGAACAGAAAATTCACTAAAGCCTTAGAGATCTGGAGCTCCGCATACCCAGCTTTGGCTCCCTGGCTCTGAATTTTAACCTTTTCTAACTGCTCTACAACTGATGTCTTCATGCAAGTTAACACATTTTCCCGCACAGTGATTTGGAATCACTGATATTTGCTGTATGCAAATGTAACAAGTTTATTCCATCCTTTTAATTAAGCTACTCAACATATTCATAATTTCCAAGCAGACCTGTGGTGCTGAGGGCCAATTAAATGATCAACAAGGATGCTCTACAAAGGACTTGTGTTGTCCCCACCACTACTGAAAGGCTTAAAGTTTTAGGCTCTAAGATGAAGGTTTTAACCAGAGCTTACCGTTGACACTTGTGAATATTCCTGCTATAAAATCAGCAACCTGAGATTGATCTACAGAAGCATTCAGAAGTATCAAACCCTTATGAAACATAGAAATTGCCTCAAAAGAGTTTGACAACATGATCAATGAGTGGCCAGCTCTGTAATAAGCCTGAGGGGAAAAAAAAAAAGAAAACCACACCACTGTTAGGAAAATACTCAGATCTTGATCACATTAGATCAAGAATGTTCAATTCAATTATTCAATATTGAATAATAATAATAATTCAATAATTACGCTATAAAATGGCATGTACTACTATTTTCACAGCTTCTCAAACATATCCAAAAAATGCAATCAAATCCCTTGTAATTCACCATCTGCTATTGATGTCATTGCAAATACTACAAAAATGATAAATATTATCTATTATATCTAGATAAATATTATTTACTATACCTAGATAACTAGAGTAATAGAAAAATTGGAAAATAACTAAAAGATGAGAAGATATACTATTAGCAATTATGGACTTTTTTGTTGGGATCCAGAAAGAAACAGCAAGCAAAAGAGAGCTGCTTCATTTTATTAGAAGTACTACTACATTAATAATTCTGATGTTCACGTGGCAGAGCCACACACTGATTCTATGATTTTATGCTGTATTTGCTTAGCACATCTTAAAAACAAAACAAGAAGCAGATACTGACACTTGTTTTAAAATGTAAGGCAGGCAAAAAAAGACAGCTTAAACATCTGAATACCTTAACATACTCTGGATTCCAGCGTAAGCTCTCAAAAGCTGAAAACATTGCTTCTCTCCATTTACCAAGATTGTACAAGGCAGTTGATTTGTTGCAGTATAACACAGCTATGTCCTCAGAACACCTGAAAATACGTTACCAGCATAACTGCTTATTCAATTAAAAAAGGATGCAAGACACTTTACAGATAGCAACAAGAAATAAAACCATCACCCACCTAACAAAATTGGAGAGAAAAAACAGCTGTAGCAAGTAAAGATCATTTGAACATCAGCTATAAAATCTTAGTGACATTCTAAATGATATTTAAGCGATACCCTGGTCCCCTTTGAAGCAGAAGACCAACCCACTGAAATACCACAGTATAAGCTGAACTCAATGATCCATGTGCATACCTTCCAACATGGTATATTCTATGTTTCTAGAAGGATTTAGAGACAGCTTAGACCATCTAGATATACCTAGATACTCTGTTAGGTTTGTGGCCAAGAATAGGAGAAAACAGACATACGAAAGGTAGAACAAATGCTAAATATAGTTAGATCCAACAAAATACAAAAGCTATTTTACTGTATCAGAAGCTGATGAAGTTAACAGAACTATTTACATTTATGCCAGTTAACAAAATAAATGTATTTTGGAGAACAGAATATACTAAAGTACATGCATTTGAATGCGAGAGAGTTTCTGGAAACAGCTGCCCAAAACTTACAGAACTACAGACCACAGGGTACTGGGAAGCCTGAGAAGCCTATCTTGCCTGAACTTAAAACAGTATGTAGCATGGTGCTGCATCCTCCACGTTATTCTTATCTACTAACATGCACTCAAAAAAGTTGTTTCAACTTCACCAGACATGTTCAGAGCACACTCCCGCACATGAGTAAATCCAGCCAAAGCAACCTATGGCAAAGAGAAGCCCAGGAGCAAAACATGCGAGAAGACAAGTTATTGCTTCTTGGAAAGTGGAGATGGCTTCCTAAGCTCTGTCCTTGCTTGGTCCCACTCCCCCCATACGCTCTAGGCTGTGTTTTACCACCCTGAATCTAAGGGCAAACAGTCAAACTGGCTGGTGTTAAATAGGATAAACATCAGTGCTAATACATGGCAGCAATGAATATTTAATAGTTAACAATACGCAGTTATTTAACCACTAATAATGTTAGCAACTGATGTTTACTGATGACAACAAGCACTTACCATTTGGAAAGAAACATCCAAAGAACTCTTTGGCTAAAAAGTTTGAACAGATCTTAGAATACTAAGAAAGTCCAAACAAAAAAGTAACCTGCATTAATTGTTTTAAAAATAATTCATGACCCGTGGACATGACCAGTACCTCGTAGAACAACAGCAACATCAATCCACAATATCAGCTTCAAACAGAAGTAATTTAACACAAACCAACAAGGATATGGAAAATTAATTTGAGTTTTAATTATACTCATTTATAATTAACATTTATATAAAAGCATTCAGATATTGCTAACTTATCTACCACATACACATCAAAAACAATTCCTCTTTAATGATAAAACTGCAATACCAAAGAGTGTGACAAAAAATACAAGAACGTCAAGTGTCAGGGGAAAGGAACGGTTTTCAGTTAATTGTAGTACTGTACCCAATGGTTCACATCTGGTAATCAAAGAATACTTACAGGATCCATTGCCTTATCTGAATAAGCATATGCAGAGCTTGATCATACTTTCTGATGGCCAAAGAGTAACTTCCATTTTTAAAATCCTCGTTCCCAGCTTTTTTCATAAACTGTGCATATTGCATGGCATCCATGCTAATTGTGAAAGAGAAAAAAAATAAAATCAAACAGCATTGATTTGAGACACTTCTGTTCCCAAAATCCATTTAAACTTTTGCCTTAGGAATTGCATATTTGAAAAGGAAGACAAAAAAAACAACTTTTTGTTGCAGTTGGAATAATAAAACGCAACTCATGTGCTAACCTCATCTTCGCTGTTGATATCAATTTCCCAGCTATTTTTTAAACAACGTCAGGCAACCAAATCTATTACTGGAACACATTTTTTTTTTTTTTTGTTTAAGTCTTGCGCTCTTTTTAAAATTAAGATTCAAAATTATTTACGTGTGTAAATATACGTTAAATGCTGGAGGAAGAATCTGAGATAGAGTTCATATATTTCAGAAACATATGAAGCTATGTAAGTTATTTACTTTTTATTTATCTTTATGAGTTTTCCTTTGTCTGGCCTCTCTGCCTAGACATTTAATAATCCAGTCCATACAAGACTGCTTTGAAACTTGATTACTACAATATATATTAATAGTGCATGAAGACCTTCAATCGAATTTTAAAAAGTTATTAATAGAACCTGGAGAAATTAAAGGTCGGAACACGCATCAACTGCAACTGACTGAGAAAAATATTTCATAATTAAAATTGTAATGCCAGGTTCCTCATAAAAGTAATCACATTTTCCAGTAGCTGGGTAAACAAATACAAATGGAAAAGTAGCTACATGTATGTGGAGAAAACGTCAAGAAAACAGGTGATAAAATAGAATGCTAAGGCCTTGAATAGAATCATTTGTCACAACTGGATTTTATGTTTAAACGCCACTTCCATTACCTTTGAATGGCTCTATTAATCTCACAAATCTCAGTATTAGCAAGTAAGATTAAATCCCCAAGAAGGAATGCACAGGTTTATTTATTATCCAAGTACTAACAGGTGCAGAACAAAACCAGTATCAATCTGTAAACCACTAACAGAACCTGTAAAATCTCTTCATGTAAACCAAACTAGACGTGTCTTAATATATGAGCCTGTAGACAAACCAAAAAATAATACTGACATTTTCTCTACAGCACTTCTCAATGAAGTGAATGAGGACACAGAATCCAGGATAGTCGAGACCTGGAGACCTTTTATTGTTCCAATCCCGATCTTATATAGCTTCTGACCCAGCTACACGTGCTGCACGTGGCTAGCACGCATTGTTACAAACTTCTGATTGGTGCATTCCTTTTGATCACGCGTAGCCCACTATACGCCTGTCCGAGCCTAGCAACTTCTTCTTATTGGTTCCCACTCCCTCTCATTCTGCCTGGTTACCACTCTATGCCCTTGAGTAACCTTCTTCTTAACCCTTAGTGCACCGCCATATCAATCAGCTCCAGGTTATCATCCAATGGGTCACCCATAATTCCCCCTTTTTTTTTGTTTCTACAAGCCAAATCGTGCACAACAAGTCATTAATCATTTTTTTCAAACAGTGCAACAGGCATGGTATAACTAGTATAACTGCAACAAATAAGATAAGCAAAATAATCGCACCTTTTACCAACTCCGTTAGCCACCTGGTTATTCCTAATCCCTTTAGCCAGGACTCTAGTCCCAGTGAGCTTGTTGTTAGCTTATCAGACAACTCATTCATTTTTTTACTGTTGACCAAAGCTACAAGCTTTGTTTGTTTGTAATTTATCTGGTAACAGAATCCCAACCAAGCAGGTCATGAACAGATTGTCTGTGCTGGCCATCGAGAGACACATGTGGTCCTGTCCCATCATGTTGGCAAGGGTGACCCAAATGTTTCATCTGAGCTGGATTGAGACCCAAGAGGCATCAAAACTGCAGAGCTGAAGGAGGGCAGTGATCTCAACCAAGGCCACACACCACGGGCTGGCACCCATCATGATCACTGTCTTGTAGAGGCACAAGCATAAGCTTATCCCCAAGTTATTAGGTGGTATGGTTCTTCCCCCCCCCCGCTATCCAAGTTCGCATCATAACCATCACCTTTCATGTTTTAACTGATGTTAGTTCTGATTCCATTGTTTTAAAATGCTTAATAAGGGGTGGTACATCTTCATGTTGAAACATAGATTACTTTAGCTAACTTATTCTGTGGTGTCTCTTGAGTCTCCCCATTTTTGTTTTGCTAGCAGGTCCTTTATCGTGCTGTGGACTCATTCTACTATGGCTTGTCCTGTGGGTGAGTGTGGGATACCTGTCTTGTGCATGATACCCCAAGTGTGGAAAAACACCGTTGTAGAGTGGCTGACATATGCAGGTCCCTTATCTGTTTTTATTTCTTTTGGGATGCCAAGGGCAGCAAAGGCTGCACAAAAATGTGCTTGGATGTGACAGCCAGTCTTGCCTGCTGTTGCTGTGGCCCAGGTTGCATGTGAAGAGGTGTCTATGGATACGTGAACATATTTTAACCTTCTGAATTCAGGAATGTGATTAACGTCAGTTTGCCAAATCTATAGGGAGGAGAGGCCCCTAGGATTCATGGTAGTCAGTGGGCCTGTCTGCCATTGACAATCTGGGCAGGTTTGGACTATGAGTTTTGCCTTTCCTATAGGGATGGCAAATTGTCTGTACAATACTTTCACTGCCTGGTGAAAGAATTGATGTGACAAACAAGCCTGAGATAGTGTATTTGGTACTGGTACTTACAATGCTATATTAGCTAGCTGGTCGGCTCAGGCATTCCCCTTACACCCGGTAAAATGGTGTGACTCCTAATATGAATTATGCAGTATGGATAGGCACATTGCTCAACAAGGAATAGCATTTCCTTGAATGCTGCAAATAATGCTTCATTCTGAATGTTCCTAATTTAAGATTAATTCATTGTAACATTCCCACCGCATATTGTGAATCTAACACAATATTCACTGGGAGCCGATGCCATTGTTTAAATGCCAATATTAGTGCATGTAATTCTACTATTTGTGGGAAGCCTTGAATGTTTTCTATTACGTGATTCGTCTGGCCCCCTTGTTCCCATGTAACTACAGCTTTTCCATTTGCCCCAACCCATTAGTGAAAAGAGTTTGTCCTTGGACAGGGTGCCATCTATATAGGGGTTTAACCTCGAGTTGTACATTGTTATAAAAGGTGAACATTTTATGAGATGGGAGGTGCATATCTAATTGACCATCAAAACCCGAAAGGGCTGCTTGCAGCTCAATGCTATTCTGGAGGCACCATTTGAGGCAGTCCTTAACTATCAGAATAACAATGCTTTTTGGTTCCTCTCCAGCTATCTCTACGGTACATTCTCTGCCCTTCTTAATTAAGGCTGCAAACATTTCAATATAAGTTGTGAACGTCTTAGTAGGTTGATGAGGTAAGAACACCCATTCTAGTAACAATAGTGGATTCACTGCAGCAGGATCCCATTGCATGATGATAGCTAAAGGTTGTGGATTCTGGTTGTATATGTAGAACTGAATGGGTAAATTTTCTGCATGTGCTTGGCATTGTTGGGCTGAAAATTTTCCTCAACGTTGCTTAAAGCTATTCTGGCCACATTAGTCATCTTTCGGGGCACATTAGTGTCCATATCCCCCTTCAAAAGTTCAAACAATGGTGCTAAGATTTGATTATATAATTGGTCTGTATTTCCTATAAGCTTCTGGACATCATTCAGCATGCGGATTTTCACTGTGATGGCTACATTTTGGGGTTTAATACTCTGTTGTAATATCTTCCAGCCTAAATATTTCCAAGGCGCCTCCATCTGGATTTTTTCTGGCACAATTTGTAACCTTCTTTGTTGCAACTTCTGCTGTAGAACAAGCAGCACTTCTTGCACTAAGCTCTCGGATGGGCCAGAGAGCAATGTATCATCCATATAGTGATAAATGTACACGTGAGGGAATTGCCTTCACACAGGGCTCAAAGCTTCTGCAACGTATGTCTGGCATATAGTTGGGGACTTTTTCATCCCGTGGGGTAGTACAGTCCAACAATATCTGTCCATGGGTTCACTCATGTTGATTTTCAGGACTGAAAAAGCAAATCAGGGAGCATCTTCAGAGTGAAGTGGTATAGTAAAAAAAAAAAAACAATCCTTTAAGTCAATAATTAGTATATTCCAATTTCGAGGGAGCATAGTAAGTGAAGGCAATCCAGGCTGGAGAGCTCCCACATCTTCCATGACATTGTTTATCTGGCACAGGTCATGGAGCAGTCGCCATTTCCCACTTTTCTTTTTGATCACAAATAGTGGTGAGTTCCAAGGACTAGTTGTGTGGGTGATATGTCCTAATTCCAATTGCTCTCTAATAAGCTCTTGGAGTGTAGTGACCTCTTCTGCTGAAAATGGCCATTGATCCACCCACACTGGCTTCTCAGTTTTCCAGGTGAGTTTCATGAGTGGTCACTTGTCAACAGCCGCTATTGAAAATTTTCCGGAAAGCTCAGGGTGAAATTGCCCTGCCCCCTCACATCTCTTCCCAGGAGGCTGACAAGTATTGGGGCAGCATATGGCTGAACATGGTATGCCAAGCCTTGGTGAGACTTAATGGTAAGCATATATTTACTCTGTTAAGTTTTGGAAACACCACCCACCCCCATTAAGGCCTTTTGGGGTTGAATCCAATGACCATCCAGTGGGCCAGTCCTTTAGGGCTATTACTGTTACATCTGCCCCTGTAACCATTAACACCATGACTGGGGCACCTGGGGGGGGTTGGCAGTCGGGTAATGTAGCATTACTGCCAATATAGGTCTTTTAGTGGCAATGGTTGAGGCCTCTGTTGACCCAAAGCCCCCATCACATTGCTTGCACTGTTCTGCTTAGGGAACAGTTGCTTTAAATATTAACTGGTCGATTCTGGTACCCTTTGGCACAAGCACCGGTGGCAAGGGAGTCCACGCCATGGCTTGTATGACCCCCTCATAATCAACATCAATAACTCCAGGCAGTACAAAAAGTCCTGTTAAGGTGGTGCTTGACCGTCCCCACAGGAGCACGCTATATCCTTTACCTATTGGTCCCGTAACATTCAGCATTATTTTGCACATCCGAGTGTCTCAAAGGATGCAGTTCTCTACTGTGGAGACATCCAAACTGGCACTTCCTTGGGTTTTGACAGTGAGGTAGTCCACTGTAATATATTCGGCAAGGCCACTGGAGTGGTGCTCTGCTGTTGTTGTGGTCCGGGTGTCATCATTACTTGAGGCGGGTCCCATGAAGGCAGCCCACCCACAGCTGAGGACCAGGGCACTTGTGTCATTGCATGGCCCTGCCCCGCACTCCGCCTCCCGTTTCCCTGCCACAGTTGCAGGGACTGTCTGAGCCTAGCAACTTCTTATTGGTTCCCACTCCCTCTAATTCCACTGGTTACCACTCTATGCCCTTGAGTAACCTTCTTAACCCTTAGTGCACCGCTGTATCAACCAGCTGTGTTGTGTTTTTTTATTTTTTAAATCACCAAACGGGTCACCCATACCTCAAGAAGAACCTGAAGCATTGCAAATCACTACTGTATCGTTAACACAGAGGTATTAAGAGGCGTTCTGTGGATGACACTGCCTCATCTGCACATCTGCTCAGCTGGATGAAATACACTACAATTAGGGGAAAAGCAGCACACACCTCTGAAGAGGCAACAGCAGAAGAACCATGTGCTGTGCCAAAGCTCAAATCAAGATTGCTTCAGGAAAAAGGTCAGTCAGAAGTTAGATCTTGCTATTTAAAGAAACAAATACTCTGTGATGATGTCTGCAATGCAAACATTTTTGCATTTACATTACTAAATTTCCAAGGAAGCAGGAAAAACTGAGGAAAATTAAATACACAAATCAAATAATCACCTCATTGAGCAATGCACATGCAATACCTAGTTTAAAAATATTACTTATTGAGACAGCAAATTGAGTGTACTCAACTGTACCTGTCCAACCCATCAGCTGCCAGTTTCTCCAGGAGAATACCGTGGGAGACTGTGCTAAATGCCTTGCTGAAGTCTAGGTAGACTACAACAGGCTTTCCTTCATCTACCAGGCAGGTCACCCAGTCATAGGAGATGAGGTTGGTCAGTCAGGACTTGCCTTCCATGAATCCATGCTGACTGAGCCTGATCCCCCAGTTGTCCCATATACACTGCATGATTGCATTAAAGGCAACCTGCTCCATCACCTTTCCTGAAACCAAGGTTAGGCTGACAGGTCTGTAGTTCCCTGGGTACTCTTTACAAACCTTCTTATAGATGGGCATCACATTAGCAAGTCTCCAGTCATCTGGGACCTCTCCCCATTATTTTTTTATTTGTTTTTTAAATCATAGTTGAATTTCAACCCTGTTCTTTCAAGAAAAGTTATGCTCCTCCTTAGGGTAAGGTTTGTTGTTTTGTTTTTTTTTTTTTAAACCTAGAATTATATTTAAGTAGACGATAAAGAAAAGCAAGATAAAGAACAATTAAAAATAAAAAGGTATCTAAAGGAAATTTAAAGGATTCTTTTCTCCACAATACAGCAAAAAGGCCCCCAGTTGCAATACACATTTTAAAAGGCCTTTTAAAGGCTTCATGCGATGAGACATTTTGGATCTGAGCTCCACGTTTTGATTCAGGAGGTCAAATTCCCCCCAGCCCCTCCCATGTGGAGCAGCAGGATTTCCAGATCACAAATTCCTGTGCTTTTCCAACATTAGTTTGCCAGCCAAAACCTGAAACCATAAGTCATTTAAATAACCAGGATGCCTACTGTAGGCTTTAGCAACTACAGCTAATTTTGCAGACCCAAGAGATATACAGGTAAGCAAGTCTGACATCTAAATTAATTATCCAAAAGAATCACTGTACTGATTAGCACAGCATGACTTGCTGTTGCCTAACATCTTCCTGTAGCGTAAACATTTTTAATCCCAAATCCCAAACCAGTATACTAAGTAAGACCTATTACATTAAAGTCTGTTGAATGTGGCCAGCATTAAAAAACACATGACCTATTACTCTGCCTTCAGTTGGTACAAGGTCAACTGCCCAGACCACAAGTCCATCTGAATATAACAGATACATATATTTTGTGTGTGTATGTGAACACACATGAATAACAGATATTTTGAAAAAAATCAGACAAGATTATCTACTTTGTTGACTTATTTTTACAGCTCCTGAAGCCACCAGCACAACTCTGGCAGCAAAATGAAGCACATCCATTTATACCTGAAGAATTACAACACAAGATTATGCAGTTAAGTCAGAAACACTCTATTCTAGTTCATATTGCTATGTCCTGGTTTTGGCTGGGATAAAGTTAATTGTCTTCCCAGTAACTGGTCTGGTGATGTTTTCTGGACTTAGGATGAGAACAACACTGATAACACAACAGTCTTGCAGTTGCTGCAGAACAGTGCTTGCACAGAGCAAGGAGTTTCAGTTTCTGGTGTTGTCCTGCCAGTGAGGAGGCTAGGGGTACACCAGGCAGGGATGCAACCAGGACAGCTGGCACATACTGCCCACAGGTATGTCCCACACCATACTACATTGCTGTGCTCAGCAGTAAAACTGGGGGGTGGCTGCCACTGCTCAGGGAATGACTGGGCATCAGTGTAGTTTTTCAACTACCTGCTGACTGAGCATCATTTGCTTTGTTTATTTTTTTTCCTTCCCCTCATTCCTGGAGTGTGTGGGGGGGGGGGTTAGTAAATATCTGTCATGTTTTGCTGCCTCCTGGGTTAAACCACAAAATGTTGCCAGTGGGCAAAATTCCTATGTACTTCAGGTGCTGCCAACTCTTAAGTTATTGCAATGGTTGGTGTTCCAAACTGGTTCGGTCAGACTGCCCTCACAAGCAGGACAATTCCAGGGGGTTACAATGCTACTCTTTGAGTCTCATTGATTCAGCTGATAAGCTTGAAAACCCAAATAGAGACTGCCCACAATCCCATGCCATTTTCGAAAAACACTGTGCTCTGTACACCAATCATCGATCCCAAGAGGCAAGCTTGTGCTTTCTGAACATCTGAAGTTGACAATACTGAAAACTTCATAAAACTGAGAGCAAACCTGAGCAGACTGTTTGTTTTATCTGTGTCCAGTTAATGTACTTTAATAAAGAAACTACATAAAGCCTCTGTAAGCCCCCTTCTCTCCCTTTTTACTGCTGAGCCTGATGTGGTATGGCATGGTATCTGTTTCAGGTCACCTGCCTGCTTGTGTCCCCTCCCAAGTTCTTGCACACCTCCAGTCTATTGGCTGGGAAGGGGCAGAGTGAGAAACAGAGACGGCCTTGAGGCTTTGCAAACATTGCTCAGCAAAGGCTAAAACATCAGTTTGTTATCAGAATTGTTTTGGTCACAAATCTAAAACACAGCACCATGCAGTTGTTACAAATCCCAACCAGACCCAGGATAACTGCTTGTTCCCAGAGAAGGAGCTAGGGTTGTTACATAGCCTTACAGCTTAGCTTTCAGTATCAACAACAAAAGTCTGGCTTCAATCCTGTGGCATTACCCAATGGTAGAATAACAGTTTTATTGTTGAGGAACAGTAGCTTTCCATAATGGAAGCAAAAAGTGAAATAATGCTATCTGGGGAGTTCTGCATCTGAATTAAAGTAGTGGTTAAAAAGAGCATCCTTTCTTTTCTAGGAAACCCAACTTCTAAAGACTGTGCATTCCTCTTTTAGTAATGCAGAGGAATAAATGATTCTTACTCTTTCCACCCTAACCTAACAGGCAGACACTACCAACTGGCAACAGGCAGGGAGGAAAAAAAGAGGGGAAAAAAGACCAGCAGTAAAGCAAACAAGCTAGATTTATGTGATAAGCATTCGGTTTATTCATGTTTTCTCAACAGGCCTTGGGGCTCACATTAGCTATTACCTGACAAGAGCAGGCTGGCTGTGAGAGCACAGTGCCACCACGAAGGCATCGCCATGTCACACTTTACTGCCACATGCCCACGACTGACACTCTATGTCCAAGTGTCCATCACCCAGATAAAGGATGACACATACACTATGTCCTGGTATAGATGCATGCAAATGTCAGGGCAGGCCCCCCCAAAAAAGAAGAAAAACAAAGGGTGAGAAGGCTATACCTTGAGAAGTCTATGCTCTACCTGCTTGCCAGTTTTATTAACCTTTCTGACAACAGCAGCTACCAAATCCATATTTACAGAAATTTCCCATGAACACATACAGGCATAAACCCAACAGTGAAAAGCAGAAAAAAAAAAATATATACTTCTTACAGGATCTTCCATTTTTCATCAGATGCAGAAGCGATGCACAAAAAAACATCTTGAAACTGCCTGTGCTTTGAGAAGAGGCCTTGAAAGAATGGCAGATAAAAGAATACAATTTCTGCAATCAGTATGAATGGGTTAGTGCTGACCAGCCATAACTTGACATGTTAAAGAGACCTCATGCAGAAGGAGGGAAAGAAGTTGAGATTTTTAGCATTGCCATCCTCAAGTATCCGTTTGGTCTGGAGAAGTCATACTGATGCTTGTGAATATCCAAATATGTTAATATGCCTCACAAAGACTGTTTTAAACTCTTGCAGCATACATCGGCTCACCTTGGAGAAGCTGGTCATCCACAAACCAAAAGCCTATCAATAAGAAAGCAAAGCGCTTCCTCATTCTGCCCTGCAAAACAACAACAAAAACTTGTGACTCATTACCTTTACAGATCACCATCAGTTCTGGAGGAACCCTACCACCTTTCCATCCTTCCAGCAGCCACGAGCACAACACAGTACTGAGCCCTATACCAAGCCAGGGCATACCACAGGACAAAACACGTCTTGCTCAGGGACCCAATTTCACATCCCACACCCAAGTGCTGCACCTGTGGTTGAAAAGTCAGCTGTAAGACTTCTCACTTCTGTGGTTTTGCTTACTAGAAACACACAAAGCGGCTGAAAAGATGAAACGTCTGACTGTGCTCTAGCTGAGCTTTCTCCTGGAAACCAGCACAGTAGTAAAGCGCTGGCTGCAGGGCACAGGCATGGTCAGAAACAAGACATCCTAATTGACATTCAGCACACACTCCCCACATACCATTCAAGATATTAACAGAGCATTGAGGCTCCTGAGCTAATCATATCCTGGTACGTACAAGGCAGATAAGGAGATGTACAGTCTGGGTGAAACAAGTGGAGCAAGTGTAATACAAGCACGGGAAAACTCCCGCTGTGACCAAGGGCCCTTCTCTGGGCAGGGTTGGCCTAAATGACCTCCTCAGGTCCTCCTTGTCCAGATAACCACCATGCACTGGTTTCTATTTAAGCAAGCTATTATAAAGCAATTATTACTCATAACTACACCCAGCTGCCTGACATCCCCAACCCCTCACACACCAAACACACATGTAGCTGACCCCGCCTAGCAGCCCAGTTCCTCTTCAGAGGATGACCAGTAACAAGATAACAGAAGTGGGACCCAAGTCCAGTCAGTAGCACTGGGTCAGCCCTGTCAGCTTGCAGCAATCCAAGAAAAACCTCAAGACAAGGATGCCACTAAAACATTACCAATAAATCCTCCAGAGGATGGATCTGTGGTCATTTTGCCTGCAGATGAGGTGCTAAGGCCAGGAAGCAATATGGCAAGGCAATGGAAATCATAAGCACGTCACAAGAACAAGACAAACTTCCCAGATCCCATCCCAGGGAAGGAAAGCAGTGCGCACATGCCAAGACAGCAGCATGGTACCTGCTTTAGACCCTGAGCGCCCACTGTGAAACCATAGCTTTACACCCATGAGCTGTGCAATAGAAACCTGAAAGACTGGATTGTTACAGACTCCTCGGAACTTCCCGAGCTCATCCTTCATTACATAGGGTGCCTTCATGTCATCGAGACTACATCCCATTTTGGTAAGGCTCTCTGGAAAAGCTACAAGAAAAAATAACACTACTGAAAGATGGAGAATCACAGCTCCCTGTTTATAGGCAAGACCTCAATGCATCACTAATCAATTCAGTTTCACAGGTCCTGAGAAAAGGCCATGATACACCATCCTGGATTTAACGTACTATCTCTTAACACCCTTCCTCCTTCCCTTGCAGGCTGAAGTCACACCCAGCACATGGGGATTTGCTTTCCTTGAAGACTGCTCCACATCTTGTACTGGCAACAGTTTTGGCCTTGCTCCCCAGCATATCCTGTTTTGCTAAGGGAAAATAAACAAGCTGTTTCTTTCAGTTTCAAATTACCTTCCCCTCTTTGGAACATATCAGTAAGAAGGTACACCTCAGGGAAACAATGGTCAAAGCAAGTATGGAGTTATATTTTCAAGAAAAACATTGTGTAAGCATACGTGTACTTACAAAGCAGCACCGCTTCTTTATGAAACGTAAAAAGGACTGGCATCTCCCATTTTGTGGGGGAGAAAAAGTGATGCAAAGGAAACATGTTCAAGATTCTATCTAGAAAGTGCCATTACTAGTTTATAAAAAATAAAAGTCACCACCACAAACCCCTCACAAAACAGCAGAAACTGTTAATCCTGCTTCCTATCACCTGAACCAACAATGGTCTTGAAATCCCTCATCTAGCTGAGCAGTCCAAACCCTAACCCCTATCCCAGCAAGATGTATTTACACTGCTGCAGCTGTTTACTCATCCTGTCAAGGCTCCTGTCATCAAACAGCAGTGACCCTATAAGAAAGCAAAGGGAACAAGTAGTCTCAGTATTTGCTTTGTATAGGTTAGCTCAGGATGATGTGACATCTGGAATAGAGAATTTTAAAAAAAAAAAAAGGATCTCCTAACACCAATGTTTCCAAGCTCATGCACAGACTGCAGCCACCACTTGCCAAGTTTTGCTGCATGCAGGTATGAACAGCAGTAAGAAACACTGCTTTTTGCACGTTTTCCCTGAAAACGCAAAGCCCCTTCCCAGGCGAGTTAAACCCATTCTACCAACCTGAAACTCATCTCCCGCGAACCAAGCGATAAACGCAGCAGCTGAGAAAGCTCTTCTTCCCTCGGCAGCACGCCCAGCCCCCTTTTCCAACACAGAAACCTGGCAGCAACCCTGCTTTGCAGGGCGAGGGGAGCAGCTCATCCCAGCTCCCTTCCACTGCTCGGGCACCGCCGTACGGCACCGTGCCCGCAATGCCCCCCAGCGTAATAGCGCTCCACCGCCCGCTTCTAAGCGCAATGGCTCCGCCCGCGACCCCGCCCTGCAGCGTCACCCGGCGCAGGCCGAGCGGAGTCCAGGCCTCACCCCCGTGCTGCCCCTTCCAAGGCCTGGCTGCCCTCTCTGTGAGGAAATCCTGACACCCAGCCCAACCCCCCTGATGCAGCCCGGGGCTGTCACCTCGCGTCCTGTCGCTTGTCATCTGAGCACGGAGAGCGACACACTGCTCCTGGCTGCAGCCTCCTGTCAGGCAGCTATGGAGAGCAGGGAGCTCTGCCCTCAGCCTCCCTCCCCTCCAGACCGAACAGCCCCAGGTCCCCCAGCCGCTCCTCACACCTCTTGTATTCTCACCTCTTGTATTTCTCACCTGGGGGGGGCGGAAACGGCCACACTGAGCACAGTACTCAAGGTGCAGCCTCACCAGAGATCAGTCAATAATTCACTTTCCTGTGTAACCAAGTGTCACAACTCCTTAAATAACACTACAGCCACAGTTGCTGTTTCAGAGCTGCATGGGTATGGGGTGGGAAAACTGCATGCTCCCCAGCATTGCTTACTGACCGACCTAACACCAAGCCCACTGGTAGGATTTTGCAGCTTTTGCCCAGGCAAAGGCGTTTGCACGAGTCAGAGGAATACAAATGTTGGGAGAGACAACTGATTGATGGTCACCAAAGCAGCCAGCATTTCCCTTAACCCCCAACCTCCCTCTGGTTGTTATCAAGGGGACATTTTGCTTCAGAAAGCATAGAGGGCCAGCCCTCCCCCCCCCCCCCCCCCCTCCCCCACCTAGTTCTGCTGCAAAAAGACAGAAACCCTGCTTTTCAGCTCAGGAGGGTCTCTGGTCGAAACGCTCTCACAACAAACAGCCATGGTGACGTCTGTTTGCCTGCCATGGGCGTGTTTTGTCAACATCGTCACAAGACAGAAATCGAAACTTGGGTTTTTAAACTCAGCTGTAGAAACGAAACTTGGCAGCTTGTAAGCTTTCTCCCGTGTGCACTGGGGTGTTTTCCTTCTGTGAAGAGCAAAGTAACTTCCCAAAGCTGCATCCCTGCCATGTACACACATTGCCAACAAGCATCTGAGTCAGAAAATTATGGCATTTCCTGATTCTGCATAAGCATGGAAGGAATAGAAACTAGAGAGTGTGGTCCTATTTTGGGAGGCAATTTTGTATATCTGAGTGCGCAGGCACTTGGGCATGGATGCTATTAGGCATACAGCATGATACAGGTGCTTCAGCACAGAACAGGGTGCTCTGGGTGGAGGTGCTCATGAAGTACTGCAAGGCAGTGTGTAATGATGTGTAAAGCTTTTTCTACCCAGCTTCTACACCCCTTCTGTTGCAGTTGTAGAAAAGCATCAGTGTGGGGACATTTCCAAGGGAAAACATTTCTTTTGTCATTTCTTTTGGGACAGTGAGTAACGGATCACTCCACAAATCACTCTTGACACGGCAGATCTCACGACAGAGATGCATGCAATGCATGGAAAGGATGGGCCTCAGCACAAGCCTTCTGAGCCTGAGCTTGAAGAAGGTTGTGCTGACACCCACAGCACTTGGGGCTTGTGCTGATAACCCCCAGCACTTGCTTTCCTGAGGGCATCTCCTGGCTCCTAAGAGCACTGTGCCACGCCTGGGGTAGATGTTACTGCATCTTACCAAAGATCTGCACCTGGATTGAACTCCCAGCAGCAATCACTGCGTTCGCTGTAGTGGCAACATGCACCTGCCACTGGTACAACCTCAGCTGGTAAATTGATATTGTTCCTGTTTTGAATGTGTTTTATCCTCCTCTGGACCAGCAAATTAGACCACATGTCAGGGCACTAGGGATGCCAATTATGGATACTGTCTGGGGATGCCCCTGCTCAGCCTGTCCCGTGAGGATCCCCCATGTTACCCCATCCCACCCACACCCACAGAAACGGTTGCTTTTCCTGGTGTTTTTCTAGTGCCCCACACTAGAGGCTTCCATCAGCGAAAGGACACAAAAAAGGTCATAAATGATGTCTCTGGTTATTGCAACTATGAGGGCAAAGGTTTGCAGCGTAGGTGCAGTTTCCTGAAGATATCCATGCTGCAGCTTCGATCAGTGGGACTGTTTCAGGATGTTTGGGGTGCTTGTTCGACTTTACAATAATATCTTCAAACTAACATAGCAATACTCCTGATGAACTTGTGTGTACCCTATTTTATTTATGAGGTCAAGAAATTTTTCCCAGAGAAATCAGGTACTTCAGAGTAATAGCATTACAAGAACTTTTACTGGAATCTTATGCACATAATCAATAAAGGAAAATGCAACACAGACAATGGCAAAAACAATATATTTAATTGCTTTGCTTCTAGTTGGCCTAATGCTGAAAAATCTCTTCAAATCAAGGCTCTCTAATGTTACTTACCTATTATTTTCCTATTCTTTTCCTCTGCTACTCCATCTCATAAAGGCCTGAATGGTTAACATAACCTGTGTCATTATCACTAAGCCTAAGCCTAAGCCTAAACCTAACCCTAACCCTAACCCTAACCCTAACCATAACCATAACCATAACAGCCATAAACCCTAACACTAACAACAGTGGCCATAACAATAACCCAAATCCTAAAGACCCTAACCCTAATGGCTCTAAACTATAACCCTAATGGTTCTAAACACTAACTTTAACTCTAACCCCAATAGCCCTAACCCTGACACAAACTCTAACTCTAACAGCCCTAATCCTAACAGCCCTAACCTTAACCTGAACCCAAACCCTAACCCTTGCAAACTGTCTGAAAGTGTACTAAGGCACCAAGACCTCTTGGTTTATGTTACTGTGTAAGCAGTTGTCTATGATCCACACACAGTTGCACTTTGCACGACAAGACTTTTTGTTCCTCCCTGTGTGTGCCACAGCCCACAGCAATTTCCTGGTTATTCTTTATACACGTAAAACAGTTGTGGCACAGCATGTCCCGAGTTAGGACTAGAGTCCTGTAACAGCAAAAACTGTGTATCTTGTTAAGAAAGCAATATAATCTCTACACCAATGCCTGTTGTACATGGAAAGACTTCTCTAGAGATGTCTTTTAGCTGGACTTTAGCCTGGATATTAATAGCATCATTAAAACCACTGCAGCATAAAACTCATAAAAGCATAAAGTATCACAAAAATAGTTATCTAATAGATATATTATTTCCTTCACTGATGTTTTTTGTTTGTTTGTTTGTTTGTTTTTGTTTTTGTTTTTGTTTTTGTTTTTGTTTTGAGAGAGAGAGAGAGAGAATCTCCTTTTATGGCTGCTAAATGATCTGGAACACCCTATGTGGGAATATAAATGTTGTTTTTGCAGAGTTACATTGTTTAGAAGGAGGGAATGTGGTACTGAGATATGCTTACAGTGATAAGAAAGTTTAGCAGGCAATCTAGTAAAATGCAGACAACCAGACTCCTTAGGACAATTAGGTGAAAATCACGGTGTCAAGTCAAGTCAGATAAGTGAAGAAACATTACCACTTCAAGCAGTAAAAATGTCAAAAGAAATTTGAAATTTAACAAGCTGGCAACTGAAGGCCATGCATTGTTTGTGAAGCATCAGATAGATTGTGAACCTGGATTACCCACTCAGTGGGGAAACAGGGGAGGGTCCTGTCATCAAAAAGTATATAAACTGTGTTTTGGAACTAGTAGATGCGCTCTCTCCTGCTTGTGGGGCGCCCGCCATTGCAATCGCGAATAAATTACTACTTCACTGAGATCCTCGCCTGAGCCTAAGTTATTGGCTACGGAGTGTTTCTCACACCTAGCATGGTCAAGAGTGTTTACATGAAGTATGGTCACTCCTGTCCGTGCTCAGACTGATTATTAGGAAAAGGTTCTTCACTGAGAGGGTGGTTGGGCACTGGGACAAACTTCCCGGGGAAGTGGACATGGCAATAAGCTTGTCAGAGTTCTGAGAGGAGGCTGAAAGAATTTTAGTAGATAAGATAGGCTAATGAACATGTGAAAGGAAGCCAAAAGGATTTCAGTAAATAAGACAGGTAAAGGAAAACCTTCTGGTACCTATTGTGCATGTGATATACGCCATAATAATTCATGTCAAGAAGATGGTTGATATTAATAAAAAAGAGAGAGATGTGGGAGTGTGGCCATGGGGGTCGGCAAGCCCCGTGGTTGATGATAACATCAGGCTCTTAACGATGAGGCCATCAGGAATGTAAAAGAGTTTAGAGGGAACAAAGAAGGGTGATTCAGGAGACTCCATGCAGTCTGGGGTTGCTTGTTCTCCAGATGGTTCTCTTGTTCTCCAGCTGTTAAGGCATGGATGTTTCTGGGTGTTTGCTGCTGTTGTTACATTCAAAGTTGTTTGACCAATGAAAAGTTGTTTTGAAAAGAACTGCTGTGGAGAGAAGGTATAAGAGGGGAGCCTGCCCTCAAGAAAGGAGAAGAAAAGAAAAAGAAAAAGAAAAAGAAAAGAAGAAAAGAAAAAGAAAAAGAAAAAGAAAAAGAAAAGGAAAAGGAAAAGGAAAAGGAAAAGGAAAAGGAAAAGGAAAAGGAAAAGGAAAAGGAAAAGGAAAAGGAAAAGGAAAAGGAAAAGGAAAAGGAAAAAGAAAAAGAAAAAGAAAAAGAAAAAGAAAAAGAAAAAGAAAAAGAAAAAGAAAAAAAAAGGCAACACGATGAAATTACATCAATAAAGAAGCAGGAAAAAGGAGTGAAGAGGAACAGGCTGGCAGAATGGAGATCAGGACGGGAACAGGCACATTGAATGCCTCATGAGGATAGGTTCGGCCAAACTCAGCAAACCGCTCAGAGATGTGATTAAGGAGGTATTGGGGAGTCAAGGACAATCCCCAGACAAGGACTGTATATCTCAAAACAAGACACTGGAACTCATGATAAGGAAGCGGCAGACAGACAGAGAAACAAATGTAAGGACTATAAATCTCAAAACTGGACATTGGAATTCATTATAAAGATACAACAAATGGAAGAATTAGCAACAACCAGCTCTTGCAATTAAGAAACATGCCAACTCAGCAGATTC